AATACGTAAAACACACTTTCCACTGCCAACGACTTAAAACTGTTCACAAACTCACTGTTTTTGCCCTTCGCACTTTTTATCGCGAAGGATTTCCAAGTTTATTATTGCACTATTTATTACTAAGGGTTTCGTAGCACCAATTTGTAACGCTCCCTATTCTATTATGGGATTGCGTGTCCTGATTCACATCCACTTTCACGGATGCCCCTTTTCTTTGCGACGTTGTGCAATAAATTCGTAGTGGAAAATCACTTTTTTATAAGAATTATGAATATATTTATTTACATCAATACCGACTGAAAAATATTGACTTTACAGAAATGCTCGTATCATAAATACGTGGGAGAGCTAATGCTATTATTTAAATTTTAACTAATTATCTAGAGAGGAACTTATTATTAAGTTTCCGAAGCCTTAAACCTTGAACTTGATCTTGATGATCACTAAAACTAAACCTGCTGATCCTAAATCTAAACCTACACTCCCTTCTTCTTCTCTCTGCTTACTCTATATATACGTGATCACATAAGCCACGCCTACTTGATCACTACCTTTACTTACGCTACATATGCACAAACTACGCCCTCATGATCATGATGATCATGATGACGTAGGCATCATTCTGTGCTCCTCATTCCTATCCTCTCTTCCCCTTCATGATCTCCTCCTGCACACAATATGGTTTGGACACACATAAGAGGCACGATACATATGAAAACTACATCTATGTATTTTGAATCCCTTGACCTTTGAAATGCTGATGTCACATTTGCATCAGCGTTCCAAAGGTTGCATTACCTAATTTTAAACTACACGATGCACTATTTGACTTTGACCAACAAAGTAAACCAGACTGCAAAAGACAATTGAGAAAACGAGGAGCACTTAGGCGAGAAAATAAGTTCCTTGTGCACAACCAACCACCTTCAACTTGTCATTCACTCGTTCAATTCAAGTGTGTAAAACTGTCAAAGTTCTGTAATAGAGTGTGAAGAAGAATCAAGTCAATGGTCAATTTAAGCCATTCACGAGAAGAGAAGAAGGCAGTAGCTCGTCTTTTCAGGGTTGAAGTCTAAATTTGCTTTTACTCATTGAAATGTCAATAACATGTCAATACTTCATCTTTTCGGAACATGATTATCGTGAAAATCGCACCAATACCACCTTACCTTTGACGTTTGATTTTCAAGCCCTTGTCGTCCTCACTAATGGAAATTCTAGTTCGTAACAATTTTAGCATCTGCTTGCTTTTTGTAGGGCATTTTCCACTCTGAGATCGATCCTGAATAGTTGGATAGGTTGGGATTTCTCGGCTGTATTATGTCCCTAAAACATGTTTTTTAGACAGGGTAACCTGACAATTTTTATGATTGATTCAAAAGACTGACCATCGTGACAATTTTTGCTCTTTCTACTTCAAGTTTTGTACATTTTTTTCGTTACTAACTAATCAGAATTGTCATTTGAACATGTGTGGCTTGAGGAAAAACCGGTTAATTATTCTTTAAAAAAATTATCTTTAAATGTGATACATAAGAATTAAGAAAAATTGTGGTGCAACAATGATTTCATTTCATTTGTTGGGATGCCCTTACTTTCTCAATGAAGATGATTTATCACCTGCCTCATTTTTTCTTCACTATTTTGTACGTGGAAGCAGAGCTGAGCACCCTTTAGTTAATTTTTATAAGAAATCGTTGAATTCCCACACGAAAATGAAAAACTGGACTGGATGGAGAGATGCACGATAGACCACTAATGGCACATAATGCATAATGTATTCTGATGCATCATGCTTATTAAGTTAAGAGGAGCTGAATTATTTCATCTCGCTGAACACAAGAATTCTAGATTCTGGAAGGAATCTTGTACCTGCTGCATTATCAAATGACATTTCTCAGGTAATTTGACAATTCATGCGAGATGGAGAACATTTTTCTGATTCTACATCTCCCAGTTGGTCAATCCATGACATTAGGCAGACAGATGGACGTGGTTGGTCAGTCAGTGTGAACATGGGGTGACGATGTAAGACTGATTTTATAGTAATCTAATAATTGTCCACTACTACTTTTTCTGTAAGTAATGCTCGTCAAAATTTGCTGATGGAGGAAAATGCTACTTTTTTGGGAGGAAAGTCAGGAATGCAGAAATAAAGACGTGTCTCGCAATTATGTCATGTCACCCCATTTACAGCAATATTCTTCTTAATTTGGGTACTCCTCAACAATGTTGATAAAAGTGAGACTGGTTTTTCCTCCCATATGAAATACCAATTGTGACGATAAGAATAAAACTTCAAAATTTTTAATATTGACAAATTTCTAAGTAAAACCTGCTACTCAAATCATTAGAATCTTGATGATCTCATAATTCAATTTCCCTTCGTGCAGACTCTCCAGTACTTTATCTCTCAGATGTCCCTTCGTTTTATCCTGCGGTCGGTGATATAAAGCATTTTTGTCATTTTGGACGCATCTATGCATGAATATAATTAGTTGTGATTCTGATTGCATCAAAATATTTCTTCCTGTTCACTCTCCAAGAACTGTTCTCCTGTCTAAAAGTGAAGTCGTGACTTTCGCATTTTTCTCTCCCTTTCCACCCTCTGCACTTAATTTAAATTTTAAATGATTCAGCTGGACATAATATGGATGGAAGGAGTAAGAAAGAAAAGCCATCTAAATGGTATTGTAATTGGTGTCCTGAACATGCAAGATATGAAGTCTGATTATTCGACTCTTGATGGAACAAGTTGACAGAGACAGAAGACCTACGACCAAATAAAAGTCGTTGCAGTCAATGTTGGTCGTACACGTATGTACTTCGATACAACCCTTTATAATGATTTAACCACCAAAAATTGTACTTCTTTTGGTATTACTACTCTCATAAAGTGGACAAATATAAAGATACCATCTCTCTGTTGCTTATGTTACCTTCTGAGGACGAGTGATTGAGTGAGGGAGAGAATAAAACCCACCGATTGTCACGTCATGGCGAGAGAGATTGTCTCTCTCGGCTGGACAAGCCGACCGGTGCAAACAATGGACAGAGTAAAACCGGATGTGAACTTTCTGGAGAAACGATGCATATGTAAATTTTATATGGGTGCATGTGTACAAGAAAGGTAGGCGGCAGTGGTGGTGGGCTTTGTTTAAGTGTTAAAAACATGGCTTGTTGGTGGGAGGGAGGCAAATTGGACAAGAAACTTTGTTGCATATCGCATCCCACCTGTCAACCTGCTGTGTCTGTGGGGCAGTTGGCTTTTCAATTCATTTACATAATTAATGTTCTTTTTTCTTCGTAATGATGGCGGATTGATGAAGGAAAGTATACGCATTGAATTGTTGGTAAAGTTTTAAGCACACGTTTAGACGAATTAAGGATTCATTATGAAACACATTCGAGCCTACTTAGAATAAGCTGGGAGTTAAGAGACAAGTAAAAATGCATGTCAATGTGAAACTGGCCGTGTCACATTCACACAAACAATTAGCAAATCTCAAGTGTGAAGTCGCCTAATTATTGTTTGAGGTTAGTCCTCAATGATGATCCCTTTGTCTCGTTAGGCATAAAGGAAGTAAGAATTCGCTTTCTATAACTATTTGTAACAGTTTGATCTCCAAGCCTGTGCACTTCCGACTCGGAACTCGATTTTTGTCAAGTCAAGAGTAGGTAAATAAATACAGTGTCACTAAAAAAATCAGTGTCACAAATTTCCATTGGCTTATACTAAAATAAATACCATTATTTTAGGCATTAAAAGTACGGATTATCGGCACTGTTTTACATTATTTGCCATTGTGTGCATCCGTCCCATTCAGCCAGCATCCATTTTTGTGTCTCAAAGACTGCACATTAATTGTGTACAGTGAACTGCACCTACTTTTGCATTATTATTACACAGATAATTGCATAACTTCTTCGCATATCGCCTTTATACTTTATTCTCCTCCTTGTTTAGCATTTTGAACACAGTAGCAGCGATCAAGTGGAAAATTGAGGGCTCTCGTTCGTACGCTTTTATGATTGTTGAGCTTGAATTAGTTCTGTCTGTGTCTTTTCTGAGAGGAGTCAAACCGTTGTTGGTGGTGTTATGCAAAATGAATTATTTCGATGCCAATTTATTCGCACATGCACAAAAAGTTGCTGCACAGCCGGTGCCACCCGAGAAGCTGCATGCTGTGTGTTATCTCTTGTGTACTTACATTGCAATTAACCTTTACACAGCTCTATTGCAAACGGTAACCAAGTAATGTGAGTGAAGCAAAGCGTGTGAAAGACAAGAGTTTGGGAACGAGAGGTGTCGATAACTGAGTGATGATAACACTTGAAACGTAAAACGAGGTTGTAAAATGTAAAAATTTGACTATATGCACTTCTTAATTAAGAGTTAAGAGTTGGTAAAAATGTCCCCAACATTTGAGTCTAATTGGTACGAGGAGACTCATCATTTTTACGATATATGTCTCTACATCTCAAACCCTGTATGTCTCAAGATTGAGTAATGAAGTAATCCTACGGCTTATTGTTACCTAATATGGGGCAAATACGCTACGATGTTTATGTGCACTGCAAAATGTGTGAGATGTTGATTTATGCCAGTTATTTACAAAGAATAATTGATCCATTGGATCGAATTGTCTTTTGTTGACGTGGCTGATGGTACACAACACTGCGGTTTTAAAGGGATGATCAGAACATGATAGGTTTGGTAGTTTTGTACATCTTTTTCTGAATTTGCAAAACCAAACCAAACCCCATCCTGTGATTGCTGGGTTGAATGCATCGTCGTACTTCTTACAGAGCTGAGGTCTTATGCGAGCCGATCCCATACGTATTTATGTATCATCAAAGATAAGATCAGACAAGACAGAATCATCGAAGGAGTACGATTCATGATACGACTGCGATTTGCTTATGTATTTAGAATCCGCAGATTCTTACCCAAAAACTAAAGAGCAATTCAATTAAATTAAACTTTCCTTTTTTGCAGTGAATCTAAAATGATTCGCACTGCAGTACGCAGCCTGACTTCCTTCGTGGTTCATCTCGAATCTGCGAGTTACGAATTCAGACGATTCGTAATGCAAAAATTACAAAAGTGAGACAAGCCTTTGTTGCCATTATTGTTACGTTATACTGGTTGGTTGGGTAGATAGTGATAGTGTTAAAATTAGTAAGTGTGCCGTGTGCAAGGAAGACAAATGCTGCGTCTCGGTCCGTTACCTCGCATGCAGTTGTCATGTTTTGTCATCCTGATCTGTTTTAGTTTTAAATTGACGGGTATATTTTTATATATTTCCAAGTTTTCCAAATTTCAATAATGAGTGCGATTAAATGTGTAATGAGAGTGAATTAATTGTAGTGCGGGCGAATGGACCGTACGAATGTAGCCAAGGTGGACACGGTGCCCACGATTTGATAGAAAACGGGGTCATGAATCCCAAATATCAGGTTAGGCTAAAGATTTTATTCTTGCGTCATAAAATAAATGATAATTTGAACAGTTCTAATGATTTGTTCTACATAATAAGTAGCACCGGTGTAAAATACCTTATCCTATTAACTAACCTAAAATTCATGTTATTATTTTATATGGTTATAATCATCCGATCAGTGGTACAAGAGGGGCAAGAAAACCTATATTCCTGTTGTAATGGACCATTCTTATTGTACGTACAATAAGCAAACAGTACTTTTCTAATCTGTTGCTATAAATTTGATTTAGAAATTATTTACTTTTCCAGCGTACAACGAGCACAGCACGATTATCGGCGGTTTGCAAGAAATCTCTGAAAAAACTTGCGTCGAATTTGACATTTATGACAATGAAGCCGAGGTTGAGGAGAAAGACTTTGTGTACATTAATAAGAACACAAAAAGAGGTAACTAAACAGTATAAGTACCAATATAAAATAATAATGCATATAACCCCGAATTACTAAAGGTTGCTATTCGTACATTGGGAGGATCGGGGGAAAACAGGCAAGTTCAGATACTCTTATGAAATCCGATACATGAAATGACTTTCCAATACTACAACTTTTACCGGATGTGCAAAGCCTCATTCGTTCGGAAAAGGCAAACAGACAAACTCCGCCACAACAAAAAAATAATTCCAATATTACAAACCATAACGATGCAAAGTACGTTCGTAATCTGTATACATATACTTCTGCACACGGACAAATTCGGAATGCAAACATTGCTGCTGAGGCCCGTATTAGCCATTTGGCAAACAAAGTGTAGCCCTACAACACACATGGCACCACGGGGGAAGAGTGTGGAATGGCTGATACGATATGGTGGCCTGGTCACCACCACTTTTTGGTCCACATATCCGATGTGAACAATGCAGAGTGAAATTAATCCACTTGAAGGCCACGTTTGAAAATGTGAAAAGTTTTCGATCGAATCAAATATTTCCAAAATTCGGTTAAACCCGTGCCTCCCTGGCTTGACACGAAAATGGCAATTCCATGAAATTTTGAATTATTTTACATTTCAGGAGATCGGTTTACCCGTGGGTTGCATTAGCCATAGGACAGCCATGCATGAAATGGTAAAACTGATTAATTTGCGTATTTATGATCATTATAATACATTAATTACATGTATATTTTATAAATAATTAGCTTCACGCTCTTGGATTCAGGTATAAATAATTTCAGTCATAATTTAAAATTAGAAGTCACATTTGCCTCAAATGCATTATATATTTTCCTGGAAGGCACGAACACGTTCGATACGATCGGGACGATTACATTTACGTTTACTGGGAGAATATTGGTGAGTGATTGAGTGAAGGGATGGACATTATACATACATAATTAGTGAGTTATGTTATTAGTTAGCATACATAACGTTGCCAAAGTATTATATCCCACTCGTGTTGAAATCATAGTCCGAGGCAGGGAATCGAATTTCAAAAAGCGGAGTCCATCCGACCTCGTCTCCGGCCCGTATGACTACGCCAGTATTATGCACTATGAGAGGAAGGCTTTCTCCAAAAACGGACAGGAAACCATCCGACCCTTGGTAAGCGGATAACACAAAGTTCCACTATTTACCACATCGTCACGTTGTTGAAGAAATTCCATTACCGAATTCCCACCCACTCGTCCATTTAGTGCACAATTTAGCCCACATTTGCATAATCTTGCCTTTCACTTTCACCACTAACCCAGTCCAGTCTCGTTCGCGGAACAATGCGGAGGACGACATGGATGCTGAAATTCAAGCTTATTTATGCAAAAGTGTTATGATGGGGTGGTTCATCCTTCATTAAAATTCAGAAATTAAACAACTCCTATTTTAACTATTATGCAGAAACCCGGAGCCACAATTGGCGTTCGACAAGTTATGAGTTACTGGGACGCGCAGAAAGTGAACGTCGTCTACAAGTGTGGAGGAAGTTATAGCAATTCAGATTTGCTAGAGTACAGTCCAGAACTGATCCACTACAACGAAAATCACGATCGGAACGAGTCTTCCTTGCCAATTGCGGAATATGACGATTTTAACCGGGAACCACCAGTACGAAGGGATGCCCGGGCAGGAAGAGGTCACAACGGAGACCACAACAACCATGAGGATCACGACCACCACCACGATGACGATAACCACCACGTATTCGGACCACCCCCACCACCACCTCCAGCCAGAAATTCTTTTCGACACCCTCCACGTCGTCAGCAGGACGATGATCGGAATGACGGGCCAGAGGAGAATAATGAAAACGGTGTAGACGAGTCTTTTGCAGATGACCATTACGACAATAATGACCCCCATAATCGTATCCATTACCATAATAACCAGCAGCAGCAGGAGGAGCATCAAAGACCTCGAGAAAACCGGGAGCACTTCCACCATCGAGACCCTGGGGACGATTTTCTAACTTATCTACAGTCAGACAGTGGGGATGGCCGGTCTACCAGTTCCCCCACCACGAATAACAATAACGTAAATGTAAACGGGAATGCGGAACCTTTTTATGATGACTTTTACGATTTTTAATACACACACGAGATGCAAAGGAGTGTTAATAAATTAATTCTACTAATTGACCAAAACAAGCTGAAAGGATCGTTTATGTCGCTGTCAACTACCTCACATTGCAAATTATTACCTCGCTCGAAAGAGAAACTGAGATTCAGCATAATAATTCTTCACATCATTTCGGAATGTCTGACTAAAGCGAGAAAAAGAAGAGACTGAAAGATTTCAAATGTCACCCATTCTACAAATCCTTGCTCATTTTTCATCATCATTTTTAAAATTCAAAGATATTTCAAGCTTAATCATGAATCCGTCTAGGCAGAAATTCGTAACTGATTACAGCAACAGATTGAAAACAGCAGCTCCAGGCGAGATACAAAAAATTTAACTAAAAATGAATGACAAAACTCATAGTAAAAATATTTAGAACATGTTTGAATTCATCCATTTAACTCTTTTTCACTCCGTCGTAAGTAATCCTCGAGTCACAAAAATCGTGCAATTGCCCGCAAGCAAGGAGAAGAAGAGGCAAGTTAAGAATGAAAAATTATTCACACCTTACAAACACATATCAAGAATATGTATGGATTTATATTTAAGCCGACGTGATCACGTTAAGGTACATAGTTAGTTGTACATACAGCACCTTCTTCTTAATCCATCATTACATAATAATAACACCTAACCAAACCTAAAGCCACCCAGCGACTACAATAGCGAAGGGACTGAACATACACCATTGTTGATATGTATGTATATACCTCTAATTTCATACAAATAATGGAACAAGACGTGGCTGGCTATGTAAGTCGTGTACCACCTTATTTTGTATTTTTCTGAGATGATGATGACCGGCTTATTGTGCGGTTGGTGGTTCTGTTTAGACGGACCTTTTGTTGTGAGATACGTTTAAGACGGAAATCCAAGAAGCAATTAGTAATTGTCTGTTGTCGGAACTGGTAGTCTCAAATTATTATATGACTCTTACAAATAGAAGACTCTGTCTGTCTTCCCGTTACGCCGCACCTGTCCCCATAATCCTCATTTCCTCCGTTCGATATGTCTCACACCAACCACACCAACTGGTGCTCGGAATGGTACAACTTTCCCAGATTTTTCCTTTATAATGATCTTTACTCGTAAAGTGGTCAAAGTTTCAAAATTAGGACAAATTGGCTTACATTTTGGGGTACTTTTCGGTAGCACTACTGAGGAGCACCAGCAGCAGCAGGGATTTGGCCATTAGTGACTCTCCTGTGAACCTTGGTCATTAGTTAGTTGTTGGTTAATGTCTATCGTCTCGTTGATTCTCGTGTTATTTCATTAATGACTTTCCGCGTGGAGGTCCCACCTCATCTCGGTTTCTTTGAAGGTATCCCACACCTTCTGGAGGGTACCTTCTTACGTAAGCAAAAGTAGATAATAATATGCGATCCACGTTATCTTTGTTTCAGTAAAACACGACAAGATTATGTATAAAAAAGAACAAAGTGGAATTAAAAATGGAAAAAGCCACTTATGATGAATTATGATTGACTATGCACCCATAAATATTTTTTTTGTATGTAGAAGTTCATCAATTTCTCATCTGACACTTGACTTTATTTCTTTCTTTCTTTCCTAACAATGCCTCCTCTGCAATGTCAACTTTTCGTGTTACATTATTTTTGGCACATGCATGAATTGATCTGCCAGAGAATGACAGAAGAGCATGTCGAAATTTCCACGGGCTGAGAGTAAAATCCTCACGTGCACGTTCGGTAATACTTGAGCCAAATACATCAAAACATGTCCATCCACTCCGTAGTCCGTACTACACCACATCCGACGAGGAGGATGAAAAGGGGGAAATAGAAACAAGTTTGAAATCTCTCTCTGAGCCTTCGTGTGTTGTGGTATCTGGCCGTTTTACGTACTTTGCTACTCATGGTTAGCGTTAGCGAGCTGTTGGTTAAACCTTCCTTTTACTTTGGTCGTAGTAGTGGTTTCGTTCTGCTTTGCTCAACCATCTCTCCTGAATCTCACTTTTCTTCAGCAGAGATCCGAGTAGTACAAGTCCTCCAAAATCTCGTCGGCACTCTCAGAACGGCTCCAGTCCTCGAGCGAGCCACATCAGAATAAAGATTCGATCTGGGTTTATTTTTATCTCGTAAATATCTCAAACTCGTTGCATTTCCGAAACTAAAAAGCGTCAAAGTATTGCTATTAAAGAGAACAAATCCTATTACCATAACCATCCATTCATTCCTGCGACTCGTCTCACCCTGCCCGTCCGTTTGTTGAGAAAAGTGAGACAATTTCCCATAAATATAATAAAGAAAAGGACAACTGTTAAATGACAAAAGTGTTATTACCGTCGTTCTCATCTCGCACCGGTTTATTTGCCTGGCTGCTGCACAGTCCATCTCATTAGGGGACATTAACATTACGAGAACTTGTCCTGACTCACCCGACCAACAACCAGAGCAATTTGTACCCATTGGACTGGGGTTGGTTGGTCTTTGAGGTAAATTATAGAGAAGAAGAGTGGACCTCTCTCGAAGTCGTCTACCTAAAACAATCATTCAAAGAGAGATACGTGATGTGATGGTGGTGTGTCAACTATAAGTCCGAGAAGAAAATTGGTCCGTGTTTTTGTGTGGTTTATTTGTCGGTGAGACTGAATCATCATCATCAGCAGCATCATTATTATTTCTATTCATCTTTGTGGTCCCACTACATATTTACCTGCCTGCGACAAAATTATGTACCAGTTGGTTTGTCTCCTCAACATGCTCAACTTGTCTCACTTTTATCTTGGTTGATACAAGAGGGGAAAAATCTTGTGAACATTTAAGAAAACAAGAAGTTTGTTGTCTACCTGGCGAACTGAACTATCTTGAGAGAAATCAGTGAATTCATAATTTTCTCTTGTGAAAATAAACGAGGAAGAATTGTGAACTAAAGAACGGAAGCGGAAGCGTGTGTACCGAGCCAAGAGTTGTCCTTTCCTCGCTTTGTTTGTCTACTACGTCCTGTGGAAGGAAAGGGAGAGAAAGGAGGCAGAAAATAGGAGAGTGTTCCCCAATTTAAATTCTTTTATTTCCCAACTTTTATCTGATGCGGAGTTATTCGTCGAGCGAGAGACTAAGAAAATGTTGCGAGATATAGATCAAGATTTGTAAGGAGTAATATTGAACAAGAAAGCAAGCATGTAGTAGTGTGAACTGTGAATCTTATTCATAACGCAAAGTTAACCATAAGAAGATTTACAAACTAAAAGTTTTGTTGTAAACGTTTTACATAGTTTATAAGACTTGTAGAAAATAGAATGATTAATTGAAATCGAGAGAAAGTTACCTTGAATTAGGAGAAAGTGGGGAAAATGAAATCCATTACAACCACAAACACCGTCACCACTTCTACGACACTGCTCGTCCTCTTATTGTCGTCGCTAGGTGCACACCTGGGTCACGCTTTTCCTTCTTCTTCATCACAATCTCAAGTAGTGGGGGAAAGTACTTCATTCTTGCCGAATGTACCAATTACCTCGGCAGAAAAACCTGGTCTCATCTCCTCCTATAATCCAACCTCCTCGAGAGGGATTGAAGAAATCCCATCCCAATCAAAATCAGAGGCAACATCAAACAAGTGGTGGAAATGGTTGTCCCCACCACGTACATCTGCACCACCACCACAACAGGACAGCAACTTGACTTATTATTATTCCTATCAAGAGAACAAGAACTATTCTCAGGTTGGGGTGCAGCAACTTTCTCCAACTCAGCCAAATGGGAAGCGACAGATTGGAAACTCATCTGGAAATCCTATTTCTTTGGATTTGCATGATAAAGTAAATGTGGAATGGGAGGAGGAGGAGGTGAAGGTGGGAGGACGACGAAGACGAGACGGGGTGAGAGTGACAGATGTGAATCCAAAATTCGGATTCCAAGCAGGATCCGAGGCATCAATACATCTTCAGACGGAGGAGGATGATGCCATTGCCAAGCCCGATACAGTTGCCCTTCTTCTTCTTCCTCAGAAAAAGAAAAATGTAAATGTGGACCCCTTCATTTTCATGGCCAATAACAATGTTACGAAACGGTACAGTTCTGTTTCGATAAAGAATAAGGCTTTCCCCGCAAAGGGAGAAGAAGATGGAGAAAGTAGTACAACACAATTTTCTTCAAAAGATAACAGTAAGAATGAGACGGAGACTAATCGCACCTACATTCATCCTTGGGATGGACCTGGACAGAATTCCAAAACAGGCAGCATCAGTTCAAAAGGAGAAATACAAAGTGACGACGTGGTAAATATCGGTGCAGAAGATACCGCTGTTGAGGACGACAGTAAAAAACAAAGACTTGTTTCAAAATATCCACAACGAAATGGTGATCTTTACTTTACGCCGATGAAGACGGGGAGTGAGACGAAAACTCCGCCGCCGCCGCCGTCATGTCTCCCCATCGTTGTCAATCAGACCTTCACGGTTCGAAAGTACGGGGGAATAAGGACGCCAACTTTGGACCCCGACATGGACAAATGGACTTCAGTCAAAATGAGTCAATGTGTCGCAACTTGCATCGGCAGGCTGTCATTCGGCCAGAAATATAATGTAAGTGGATATGTATTGAGCATTTTTGTTACAATATGCATGTAGCATATGGACGTTAAGTATTTTTCAATGACAGACAGCCACACAACATCTTTTAAAAAAATATCTAGCAGACTGACAACTATTTTACATTTGGAGTTCAAAATTTCAAAAGTTTTGCGTATTCCATTTCATCAACTGACAAGTAGAAATACATCTTTTCATATGTACCACTTACTATTCAGAATTCTCCCGTTTTGCTTTTGGTAAAGTTTATCTGTAAAACTAAAGAGGAAGTTTCTTCATTTTGCGATATCTTTCTGGTCGTCGTTCGGTGGTGGTGGTGCCACAAACACACGGCACCCAACCAATTCAATTATTCATCTGTCTAAAAAGAAAACACATTAAGAACTCGAGAAGAGAGAGAGAAAACATGTATAAGATGCGTTCATATACTTGTGCACTGCATTCCAAAATACACAACCAAGTATTTACTTGTAAGAAGAAGTTGTGCCACGAGCCGGCCTGCCAACACCCACGACCCGATATCTCTGATGCACTCACTTCCTTTACAAAGTGTGAGACACAACTGGATGGAAAATATCTGTCTGCACGACATTTGGTTGTTGAAATATTTGAAAAGTGCCGAATTTGAATTGGAATCGGGCGAGAATAAATAGGAAGAGATTCATTATGATCAGTTTTATGGAGACTCCATAGCTTCAACTTTCTCACCCACCCTCCTTCTCGCAGGGAAATTAGGTAGAGTTTGTTATAAAAGAGGTTGACTGAGATTTATTGGAGTGGATTCTCTCTTGGTGAATGTAGAATGTGGGGTGTCTTAATTTGTTCACTTTTTACGTTATTTTATGCATTTCAGATGTCACCGAGGAAGAAAGGGATAAATGAGGGAGGAGGTTTTCCTGTGAGAATTGCAGCCCCCCTCCCAAGTCCAAATTATAATGGAGACATCACCAGCTCCCAGAACCATTTCGATGATGAACTGGTACGTTTTTATATGTATTAAGCAGTGGAAACGTGTGATTTGAAGGATGGGCTCTATTTTTGGATCCTAATTGAGGATTTTATACCGTGACCATAAAGCGTCATGATGCGACAGTAATGCACAATAATAATGTATAAACTATTGTGGAGCAACCTTGATTTGTTAGAAACGGTACAATCTACATATAAAGTCTGGAACGGCTTAGTTCGTGACATGTTCTGAACGGGACCAGCTTCTCGTTTTACTAAAATTTTCCAAAACGAGGGAAAACTACGAGCAGACCTTAGAACAAACTGGGCTTAACGTTAATTAAGTTGACAGAGACAAATACCAGGTTGAATGGAGACTAGAGAGCAAGTTCCTTGTTTTTGCATCTCTTGAATTCGGAATCAGGATTTGGATTTGGTTATTAGTCTTCCTTCCTTCTCCGTTTTCTCTCCTCGACTGCTCCGTCATGGGAGATGTGATCTGATTAAAAACGTGAGAAAGTTAACAAATCTTAGTTAAGTTAACATGCTGCTTCTTTCGGAAATGATCACTGGCTTTGCCTTTCCTTTCGGTCGGGATGAGCTCCATGCTCGAATTGCGCGTAGATCCTGGAACACGATAAGGAGGCAATTTAATTCATGTCTGACGCTATGGAGGGTATACACATACATATTTAGATGGAGGTCTTGCAAGATGAACCGTCACCTCCATTCCTTGGGTTAATTTACATAGCAGTGTCACTGGAATTATCAAGTTTGAATAAATATTCGCCATGTGTTTGGCCCTGCAAACTTTGAATCTCATCTGCATTCATATTTGCATTCGTACATAGGATACTCATTATATTCGTCAAGTCTGTCATCAACATTTCTAACCAATTCTATTGAAAATCACGTATCAATTTTCTTCTCCAAGGTTCGCAGTCAGTCATTGGGATGAATGCAAAGTGATTATTTCATACAATGCCAAATGCGAGATTTGCGAATCTAAACTATATAAAGCAGGCGAGTGTATCGCTGCTGGCTGGCTGGCTGGGTCGGTGGCTTAGTTGAGAAGTTAGCCTCTCCTTTTCTCTCTCCACTCTGCAGAGAGGACAGGAGAGGCTAACTTCACTAATGTTGTGGTAACGGGCTTATCGACGGGCCTATTTTGCACGTCAATTGACGGGCTTCTACACTAGTAATACATAAATCGCGAACTCTTTAATAAGTCGGAGTGCAGACGATGCAGGGATGTAATTTCAGAGAAAGCGAGGCGAGCCATGCATGCATTTCAGAGAGGGCTTCATACATATCATTATTATTTGCTTAGCGTCATTTCTCCTACATGCCTGCCCGTCAATGTCTGGATGTGACAGGCAGAGAGGAAGGATGTGAATGTGAAGAGAGGACCTTTCTAGGTGTACATTTCCACACCGAATTTCCAGAAATAAATATGCGAAATCTGCTTGTTCAACAAAAGACTTAATTAGACTTGATGACAGGGAGCGAGAGGTGACCCAAATCTCCGTCATCATCATCATCCATCCATCCAGAACTATATTATTACTAATTCTATACCTTGATGAAGCAAACAAAACTGCTTAAACGACAGGGTCGAGTTTCAAACTAGTTACTTTAGCCTACTAAATTAGCACCTTATTAACTACCCGCAGCAACTACACATCATCCATCTCATCATCTACCCACACACACAATTAATTCCAATCGTCGTTAAGTGGGTGGGCGACTGTAATTTATAACGTTGATGAAGTTACATATAACAAATATGTGCATTCAAATTCTAACTGAACTGACTACGATGCCAAGAAGTGGCAAAGTGGAAATTGTGGTGAAACGTTGATCTAAAATTATCGCTTTCTTTTCAAAGTTGTTGAAGACGACATAAATAAAAGAGCTGCCATAAAAAACCTGGTCATATAGCATAATTCTTTTATACCCAGTCTGACCCAACCTTTCTACATTTGCTGGCCTATAAATATATCAAAGAGCACACACACACATTTCCGAGAAAACATTCAACTGCTCTCTCTCGGGATCCAAATCTTCTCTGATTTCTTCTCAAACAAGTCCCTGAGCAGGGCAGGCCGGAGGATCAGAGGTGGAGGAAACAAATCTCGTTTGAAATAGAATTTTTACTACACCTTGGGGAACTCTAGATGGGTTTAAATCACAAAATCTGACTCACTTGTTCATGTCATGACTGTACTCTCGCCCAGCCCGGTTAAAGTTGAGTCGAGGGAGTTGCGTTCCTCGGCTGCTGCGGCGACTTTTGGTCTGCCTGTTTGAACCCATTGTTATAAACTGTGTGACAGAGTGACGCTGATTTCCTATAGGAAAGGGTTCATCAAAAAATCTTGTGATGGATTTACCACCAACACGATTGTTGGAAATGGGGCTTTTCCATCCAAACTTCCTCCGAGAGTTACACACTTCGTAATATATAATAGATCACGCGGTACTGGTTGCGATCATGTTTTTCCTACTTTCCGAATCGAAACATGTTTCCACAAAGCGAAAGGAAAACATGCTGGATGAGACGTACCCTTCCTCTTCTGGTCTCCGAAAACCATGTTCCCTTCAACTTCTGGAGTCTCCTCAAGTCCGACATTTTTTTGGCTCTGCATCAACAACAGTAGCATTTCATCACTCAAAAAGCTTCCAACCAATCCAATATCCGAAAAGAGAAGGTTTTTTTCAGACACCTTTTCCCCCTTTGTCAAGTAGTAGCCGTCTAGTCAAGTGAACTTTCACTTTTAACTAATTTGCCCTACAACCTATATGTAACATCAAAGGGGAACTTTGTGATTTGCAAATTTGTGTACACAATTTCTGCAATTTTTTAGCGATCGGAGCGAAAAGGTGTTTATATAAAAGTTTTTTTGGGGAGAAATTCAGATTAGTTGGCACCCATTCATGCAAGTAATCATCCTAATTTATAGTCTGGATCAAGAAATAGGGATTTGAACTAATTTCTATAATATTCCCCACCGTGATGGAAACTCGCATCTTACACGTTTTCTGCTAACAACTTCTACAACTTTTGCATTCCTCGAAAACTCCGAACCATGCGTCACTAAAATAACAAAGAATGAATATAAACCTCTAAATTTGCCTCTTGCTTATCTGCCTCCACTCCTTCCCTTCACCGTGAATCTTTCCATTCCAATCTCAAGAGAGGTGTAAATCAGTCCTGTGTTTTTACAAACGATCTGAACGGTTGGCTAAAAAAGTTTATGGAGATAAACTCGTTAAATTTAAACGAGGTATTAGATTACATTGTTGCGAGCTCCCCTCCTCCTCCTCCTTTCGCTTTCTAACTCCCTCTTAAAAACGAAATCTTAAAAGAAACACCCGCAACGGTAATTGAACTTGTAGGGTACGGAAAAATAGAGAAGACAGGCGGGCACCGTACTTACGCCACACACAACAAGCAAGTCTCTCTTAACGGGAGGAAAATAAATATGGCTCATGTTGAGTGCCTGGTGAAAGGAGGTTTGGTTTCATCCTCACCAAATACTCCGTACGTAGTATTTGGTAGTGAGTAGTTGGTTATTATACTTTCCAACAGCCTTTTTATGGCTTGGTTAATTTTAGCCCAGAACTTTATTGCAGGATCTGTCCGACAACCTGCCACACACAGATAAATGGCTCCCTTTTCTTTATTCAGCCCTTGAAATGTTGAGCTTATCTGGTTTTTGAGGTATTTCGGGTACAATTCAACCCAGAGTATGGGTAATAAATCCTGTCGTAAGCCAAACAGCCAATATTATAGTGGAGCCAACTCTTTAACACAATGACGACGACGACGAAGCTCACTCTCTAATGAATTATTTTACAAAGTGAAAGGAAATTAGAGCAGCAAATGGTTCATACATATTTTATTTATACGGATACTAAGGATTTCTTCTGATTTTTATGCCATCTCAAATTAATTGGTCCACATGGGATAATAATTGAATAAAAAAAGTTGACCCTATCTAAGAAATGAAAATTTTATGGTGAAACTTTTTTATCAAAAAGAGGGAGAAAAAGAAATAAAGTAATTTTACATTTTACTACATTTTTTCAGTGTATGGAACGAATTTGGTAATTTTTCTTTCCATCCAATCCATCCATCAGTAGTTCACGTACGCTCAAGAAAAGCAACTCCCATCCTTTTAATAAATTAAAACCATGAACTTTACAAGTCCACCGACCGAGATAATAAAATAGAGTTTGACAGAGGAAATGTCCCAACTAACTTCATCACATTATTGCCTCGCCGAGCAGGCCTCCTAACTTGTCGTTATTGTTGTTGCTGCTGTATAAAGCTCAACTTTTAACAAAATCAAACTGCACTTGAGTTTTGCTATGTACGAACAAACTTTATGAATTTGGTTCAATTTCCTGCCCTGCATTTTAGCCGGTTTATCTGAGCCATAATAAGTTTAGAGTGCGACGAGAAGGCTTTTTATCTACAAATTTGTCAAGCTTCGTGGAGGGTCCAGAATAAATAAGAACACCACTACTGAACATGCCACTGCAAAAAATCCTGGGATGATATATCACCCAGAATTAAGGCGACAAAGTAAAAAGTAAACACGCAAAGTCATAATTTTCTCAGTAGAGCCAACCCCCATGATAAAAGTTTCAAGTGTGGATATGTCGTAATGTTATCGGCTTATGGCATTGAACTTTGGTCTCAAATCCGAATAGATTTTTTTCTCAAACGGTTAGTTAGTTTCAAACACACCTCGCTTTGCCAAAATTTCATTTTATGGTTCACTCCTCAGTTTATTACTCAAAGCTATAATAATCTACAGAGGTATGTGATCTAGTGGCACATTATAAAATCGCATACCCATAAAACTCAGTCTAAAATCATGAATTCTTCGTTTATTACTTGAGAGGTTCATTTGCATTTCCATTTTTAGAAACACTCCGTCTTATTTTAGCTTAATTGAGAAACAATTTATATTCACCCCCGTTTTGACAGAGATGAATAGCGCGTAGAGTAATAATTGTCAGAGTGTTATCAATTATCCCGTCCCGAGATCAATTTTTTCTCGTTTGCCAAGCTTTTACTTTTCACTCATCAGAGACGACGACGATTTTCCAAGCAAGTAAAGTCGTCATCACGAGCTGAAGCTGAAATCAGCCCAGAATAGAAATAGAGTTACAATTATTATCAGAGCGAGAATTCCCCATTTTTCCCCTAACTGCAGTCTCGCGATAAAAAGCTTTTGGGAAATTCATCGTCTAAATGTCGCAACTCTTTTTTCTCACCAAATCCATAAAAGTGTTGGTTCAAGTGAAAATGAGTCAAAAACTGAGAAAACTGAGAAGACTGCCTACCAAAGTGAGGTTCAATGCATATTACGTAATCATCGTCACACCATTCTGTGCTCATTCTACAAGGACAATCTCATATCTCGCCAGTAAAAATCCACTCTCTCGAGTCAGGCAAAAATACATAATTGATTGCTTTCAACTTACTACGAGAATCCATCCATTCCAAGAATGCAACCCTTGAATTTGAAGTGTGGTTGAGTAATTGGCTGACACTGACGGAGGGGTAAATGAATTACGTGCAATTATTTCTCACTCTCAAACATATACCAGAAGCTCTCCCTCCAATAAAAGTCTGGCGGACTCACTGCTTGGTAAAAGTTAGCTGAGAACAGCTCTATTGTAATGGTAAAAGTAAGTAATAAAAGTAGTTAGAAGGAGACAAGGCGAGGAAAAGAGGAGCACAAATTAGCACCATCAGCCAGATTGTCAATAGTGATTTGCTTCGTAATGGAAGTAATTAAATACTTACGAAAACAAGGGCTCACTCAAATATCTCAACAACGCAGGAGGCAGAGTAGCAATTATTTTTATACCACGAAATGCTGAGGCTACCACTTTAGCATATTTCTACTATTCCGCGACTGAGAATATATATGGAGGAAGGAGAAGGAATGAATGTTTATGTTTACGTTTGGGAACGTCTTTACGGAGAATTTTAGAATTTGTTTAGCACATTCTTGCGGTAGTAAGTGGAGAGTGTGGGAACATTAAGCCTGGTGCGTGGGGAATTCATCTCTCGAAGAAGAACGACAAAGAGTGGTGGCTGAATGAGATAAAAGCAAAGTAACGAGTTGGATGGATACGAGGAGGAAAGAATAGGAATAAATTAGATGAACAAATCAAGCCCACAAATCCTGATTACAAATAGCCCCCCATGTAATGCAAGCTAATGTAATGTGTATCTTATTCTTTTCTTTATCTGATTCTCAAACAGTTGTTGTCAAGTTGCCAGAAAAGTTGCAACTTTCTACCCCAAAAATCATCCAATAGTCCCATTTCCATCGCTCGGAATTGGAAGGAAGCGGAAGAAGAAACCAATAAAGTGAATGATCCAGCCGAAGATGTCTCCTCAAAACGTGTTGTTGGTCGTGGTGATGGCTCTAATCACGAAGTTGGAGTGAAAGCAAGAGGAAAAAATGACAAAAACTCATCAGTACGAGTCGATGCCAAAAGGAAAATTATCGCCACCACCACCACCACCCAATTTCATCTCCACTGGCCCAAAGTTATTTCTCTGGCTTCTTCCTCCATCATCAAAAACAAAAGCCCTGTCATCCTGTACAATGTTATGGTTTTGGAGCAAGGAAATGATGAGACGACTCAGCAGCAACAACAACGCTTATTGCCTCCTCGCTGGAAATTGATTGACCAAACGGTGGAAACGCAAACTCAAATCTCATTACTGACCTGGCATGGACCTTGTTCTCGACTAAAACCCAAGAGCCATCATCATTCTGGTTCTCCACAGGAAACAATAATATTGGATGAACTACATGATCACCTCGTTCAACAGCATGAGCCAATTCTTCTCAAAGTGGTGGCAGTAGGGTCTCAAGGTGTAGAGAAAGTTTTCTCGGGTCTTATAATTCTGACGTCGGCGGCGGCTACTCCTTCTTCTCCGTCTCAGAGTGAAGATGAAGATAAATCTAAATCGACACTGGAATCAACATGCTGTCAGAGTTCGATAAATGGAGCAGAGATGCAGCAGCATTTCGATAAAAAAGTAAAGGGGATCAGTAACCCCCAGAGAAATTCTGACGCCACTCGTGCTATAATTCTGATGAGTCAAGAAAATAAAAATTTAAATAACATATCCTCCTCCCCGGATGAAAGTGGTCGTAGCTTATTTGTAGCAGGAGGAAGCAACAACTCCCCATCCAAGCAACGGCAACCACCAAATTTATCTGCCAGTGAGACTCTGGTAGTTCTGAATGGGGATAAAAATTCAGAGAAGGATATCATCGCATCCAACAAAATTAACTTCAAAGAAAGCAGCAGCACCAGAACTTGGTTGGGTTCAAGTAACAAGACTCGCACTCGTGCTGGTGGGAGGGGAGAAGAAGAAGTGAGTTATAAAGTTGAAAGCGATCCAAACACCGGAGGCCAAATTGATACAGACAACAACTCAAATGAAGTAAAGGATAAGGAAGGAGATGCAAATAGGAAAAGCACAACAGAGCCATCATTTCAACGGCACGATTCTCTTCGTGGTGGATCCAATCCTGTGCTTTCTTCCAAAACCACTTTCACCACAAAGTCTCAACAACAATTCATGGAACGGAACGGTGGCAGCAGCTCAAAAAAACTGGTTCAGCCACCTACTTCCAAAAATGATGTTGATGACGAGAAGAATGACGCCAACAAGGACGACTGGGGGCTTCGAGCTGTTTCAATGGTGTACCAAAACTTTCTCGTGGTTACCGAAGTGCGCTGGAATGTCCCGGGTGGTTCGGTGTCAAATCAAGAAGAGGATAAGAAAAATGCCTCCAGTGATAAGAATAACAACAGTGCTGCAACGGTTAAAAGTAGCAATTTAGTTACTGAGCCGGAATCAGGAGGAGAAAGTAAGCAAGAAGGGACAAGATATCAGTTTCTCCTCACATGGGAAATTTTAGGTGGAGGTTTGAAAGGGAATTTAGTAACGGATATTGCCGGGGGGACTATTAATCTGTGGCCGGATACGGCCTATTTCGTGCAGGTATGGCATTAATTAAAGATTCTAGGCTTGTATCATTGTTTCTAATATAGTATGAAATTAAGTTGTGAGATGTAGTATTTGACACAAATCTTAAATACGTATACGACGCGCAAAATGCAAGTATAATACGATATTGTATTTTATCCAATAAATCGTTCCCCCTGCAGGTCGGACTTCTAGATCCAGATACCCCGTCGTCCTCCTCGTCCGAAGGGAAACTTCCATCATCAACCTCATCCTCGGAACAAGAACAACATCAAAATTACATGAGTAATCTCTTGGGGATGGAATCAATAATATTTCCATTAGCCGACCCTGGAACTGGACAACCCAAACTGACTTCAACTAGTCAACCACTCCTCGTCAACACGTCCTCCGTCGCCACGAGCCAGAAACTTTCAATCCCGGCACAATCATCATCTCCATCTCCATCACTGTCCCAACGGAGTCGGAATCTACTCCTCTTGCCCAAACGAAATGACGACAAGACCAGACACAAATCTAATAATCTCCCACCGAACGGGGAGGAAAAGTCCAGGCGAGGAAAGTACCTTCCTCCTCGTACTTACCGTTACAACAACGAACCATCATCTAAGGTGAAAGTGGAGGTGGTGGTGGATAAAAAAAAAGCCGACTCAGTCCTGAATAGGAACGTGAGACCAATAACAATTCCTGGTGGAGGAACTGTCAGCACAAATGGAAATGACCATTCTCATCTTACCAAGAATAAGAATGTTCGTCCGTCGTCGTCGTCGTCATCATCATCATCATTGGATGAGGTGGGGGATCACCATTCAGCTCCTGTCCAGCAGCCACTACTGGACCATGGCCTTCTTCACAGTAAAAAGTATTACCAAAAGAATTACAGTGGTGGTGGCCGTGGCCCTAGTGATAATGGTCCACCCTCCTCCTTCTCCTCACACCACGGCATGATGGGAGACAGCCCTGGGGGGAAATCTCTTCTCGTTCGAGGAAATAATGACAAACTGCTGGAAGGGGACGACGATGAGAAATTATTTCATGGTCACCCGCACCACCAACCTCAGTACAGAAATCACTATCTCGTCGGTACAGCAGGCAACGCAAAAACTACCACGACAAATTCCACCACCACAAACGATAAGACTGCCAATATCAATGATAATAAAAGTAATAACTTGGAAAAGGAAAGGAACATCAAAAAGAAAGCGAATGGTGGCGGTGGTACTGAACACCATCGCAACAATCCTGCTGCTGCTGACACCCATCTGGGCTCGGCCTACAGACCGGAAGGGTATCAAGGCCTCTTCGCCCTCAACTTGGGCCTGGGTGGCTACAACTATAATTACGACCACAACGAGGACGGTGAAACTACGGAGAATGAAAGTAATAAATTCGGTAACGGGACAAACAGTAGGTCAGGAGATACCGGTGCGAGTGTAATTTACAGTATTTTCGTCCTCGTGGTCGTGGCCTGCGTAATATTTTTATTTCTCGTCGCCTTCATCGGCTTCTTCGTCGTGACTTCGTCAATTACGCATACAGCGCATTACTTTATTCCGAAACGCTTAAGGATTTGGGTCGTTGGGGGGAACAGTGAGAGTGAATTGTTGGCTGGGAATGAGCAGGATGCAGAGAATGAAGAGAATGAGGCGGGGTTCGTTGATGGGAGATTTGTAGAAGATTTAGATGATGATGTGCCCGAATGGGGGGATGATGTCGGAGGAGGAGGAAGGGAAGGTCACCACCACCACCACACACAACAAGACGTCCTCATGACGCATCGGGACATTGGAAGGACGTAGTAGTGTACCTGAGCTCAATTTGTTGAGAGGAAAAAAAACGTAAAATTCTAGACTTTTTTTTATCAAGAAGATGCCTCACTTATTAACCACCTCAACGTGAAGGTAATTTCTTGAAACTTTCATTTTTATTATAAGCTGCTTACCAAGTTTTCTCGCTTTCTCGGATAAAATGTAGTTGGTTGATAACCCTTAAAAAAAGGAAAGAAAAATGTTGTGCCTTCACTCAAGCCAAGCTGTCTCGACCAACCACGCCCACTCACACACAAACTCCTCGATGCCAGGATGTTGGCTGGGTGGATGATGAAACGTATAAGACAGAAGAATATTAAAACGGACTTTTTCTCCCTCTCTTTCATAACATTTCACGCTGCTTTTCCTTCTGCAGTGGTGCCGCTGGTCGGAATTTTATTGCTTTTTAATACTGCACACAATTTGAAATATTTTCTCCGCATGAGGGATGACGATAATATGTCATGGTGCATAGTTCTCGGCATAGTGCGTGGTGGGTGGTCGTAGTTTATTTGCCATTGTTGCAGCAGTCCTCTCTTTTCAAGGTGGAAAAATTTTATGAAATATTGTTAAGCTAAGAGAAGGATGGAAATAGGTTCCGAAAAAATGGTGCATTACTCCTCAAGAACGTCTCCCTGTGTTCCCATATCAGTAAATTACTCCAACTTTCTCTCCAAGATTTCCCAGCCTGGAAAGGGGTCTCGAAGACAAGAAAGAGGAGGAAGATATCGTTGGTGTGGATGGATGGCCAAAACATTTGTCTGCATTTCCTTCAAATATCCTCCTTATCTCGCTACACGTCTCAATTTGCCTCCTACTTTCTCCAACTTTCACCACGCTCTTTTCCCATTTTTTGTTGACATATTCACATCCTTTTAGATTTTTATGTAGGAGGGAACTCAGTCCAACCTCTTATCTCTTCGCAGCACAAATAGATTTTCTGCTGATAAAGCAATTTCTTTCAGCTAATCCAAAATCCAGCATAATGCGTATACATAAATACATATGCATAATAATAAGAATTTCTACCACAGCAGATACTACTCGATCCAATTGAATTAACTTTTCATGAGTGTGCAGTAATTGACCCGTACTTTAAGTAAAGATCACTTTAAGAAGCTTTTATCCAACCACTTTCTTCTTCCTGGTTATAGACGGCACGTGGAGGGAGCGCGTTATAGAGCGATAAGTGGTTCCATTACGGCTAATTATGTTTCTATTACTTCTTCCCTACTCCTCGTACGGACAAAACCACACGGCTGATTGTTTCGGGGTGTTCTTAAATTCCGAGCACATGGAGAAAGTCTTTTCCTCCATATATTTCCTCCTCGTCGAGAAAGTTCTCTTTTTGTTAACTCTTCTTCTTATTCTTCTCCTTCTACAGCGACCATCTTCTTCTCAAGTCCCAAGTCCAGGCGTTATCTTTCAGAAGAGAAGCCTACCAGTTTTTCATTTTCATCGTCCCACTCCACATCCACCACGGTAATAGAAATGGGGAAAAACTGGAGGAAATCATCTCCAGTAAATCATACATTATATCGATTGCTTGGAAGAAGAAGGAGGAAGGATAAAAAATGAGACCTTCGTCTTCTTCTTCGACTCTTCATACTTTTCTGTTTCCTCTGTTCTTCTGGTGCGGGATGGGGTTGAAGGCGACCGATCAGAACGCGAAAGGTCGCAAGTTATCCATATGTGGAGCAAAAATATGTACCATCCAATCTGTTATCTCATATGACGAAACGCTAAAATATATCCAATGGAAGTTCTATTCGCACTACGCAGAAGATTTTTTCCTACCACAATTCTCTCCTGTTGTGCATGTATATAATAATTTTTTGTAATAATGCTAAAATAATTTTGTCAGGATTTGGCAAATTGTCAAAAATTCACAATATTTTACACGGTTTCTGCCGAGAGAGTAAAAGTGACGGAAAGAATGTAGTGAAAGTGAACAAAGTTACTAGTTCACCCTTCACCAGAAGAGAAAACCTGATAATGTTGTTTTTTGGTTGGTTTTTTGATTATTATGGACTTTGGTAATAAATTGATGTCATGTGAAATATGATCCGGAATGGGATGGCAGGACTTATCGCGGCATCTAAGTGGCCTAAATACTTATTATACGGCTACTACAACCACCGCCACGGCCACCACCACGACTACTTTCTCTCCCTGTAACTAAATCGAACCGAGTAAAAGAATCAGATAGAAGGAGCGAGACTTTTGATGCAACTTTCTCTTTTAGTGGGGAAAAGTGGAGTGCTGGCTTTCACTGCACCACCACCAACAGCAGCAGAATTTAGCCCATTTTGCAACTTAGAACATGAATGCCAAAACTTCTCCTTTTTTGCAGCACTTTACTACTCAACTCAAGGCTAAAAGTGGACAGGGATAATATTTCTGCAACATACAACATGTCACGAGTACATAATGTAATATGCGTCTTATTCGTGTGTATGTATGTGTAGCAGGAATGTCTTCCATTAGTCGGACGCATAAAATTTGTAAATTTTATACGTATTACATTTATTAGATTATTATGTATTCAAAGCCACCGACTAGGAAAATATCCCGTTATCCGTTTCACTGTTTACTTTAAAATTTCCACATGCGTAGCTATACACATATTTACATACCATATAAAAAACTAACCAAGTAACTACTTATTTCACTATTCATTTGTTACTCGTCTCACAAGTCTCTCCGTTCGTGATGGCCTTGTTCTTCTCGCGATAATAAAAATAAATTGGAATAAGGACAAGAGATAAAGAAAAGTGATTCAGTAAATTCCATAAACAAAATGAGTGGTAGTGAATGGGGCAGAAAAATTAGATTCATTGCTGGAGTTGAAGCAGAAAATAAAATGTCCAAGGAGAGAGAAAGTCAGTCGACTGGATAGCACCAGTCCGTTACCAGAGAATCATGCTAACGTCGTAATACCTTATGAGCGTGGGGCTCGTGGCTATATCACATTTTCAGTTTTTTCTCTTACTTTCACTTTCCATTACGCAACCCGTTTTTTATTCTTCTTCCAATCATCCCATATTTATTACAACGTCTGCAATATGCAATAAATACAAACAGTTGTCTAACTTTTGTCGTAATATTTAAACTTTAGAGAGACAGAGGATGATCTTCTATTGTCATATTTTATTCTATGGATGGATTAGTCAGATTGGAATGTTAGGCCCCGTAGCCGTGGCATTTGTCGGGAGGACAGAATCCGTTACTGCCTTCGGGAGGACCGCTGCAACATTCGCAATGTGACCATTGACGCTCCCCATTCTTTTTGTGGGGATGGCGGCAGTACGCCCCGTCGGTGCACTGGGAGGCAATCATGCAGCCGATGTTGCCCGCTTTTATGACACATTTGCAACTTTCTTCGGATACGACTTGGTCAGATCGGCAGGAGCAGGCTCCACCAGTGCAGGTGAAGGAATCAGGACACCGGTTAGAGGTTTCGTCTGTAAGGAAGGATTGGAAAGTGGGGAAAATTGTTGGGTAAATAGGGGTTTAGTTGTTATAAATTGTTACCACACTGACGACCGAGAGGGCTGTCTGGACATGGTTCCACAGAATTTAGGGTTATTAATAGAAATATCAGTGCGAAAATGAATCCGAAGTTGGTCATGATGAAGTTTATAGCGTAACGAATTAGATGTGATGAGCTATAACATTAGGTGGTATTTTTAAGTGGAGGTGTAAATATTATTGAAATCAATACAATAATGTTTAATATAACAACAAAGTGCACCATGAAATTACTAGCGTATAATGAAAATATTTAAAACACACGTCCATTTTCAATTAAGTATTAATATACATTACAAATATTTATTGTTCAAATGGGCCAATTTATTTACATACATACATGTGCACATAAGTGTTGTTATAAGGTACACATTGCATACTTTAGTAATTTAGATATGATCAATTAGGCAGATTACAACAACGAACAATTTTGACCAGAGACTGAAATATGATAAGCTAGCACTTCCTCTCCTACAGTCACTTGCAGGACATTGTCCATTGCCGTACCCGGACGTGCTACCCTCACAGCAGTGACATGACGTTTTCGAACTGTAACGATAATGATAGCATTGACCCCCATACGTACAGTCCCCCGATCTCCTGCAACCATCGGTTCCAGCCCTTAGTTTGCATTCGCAATGGTGGTTCGAAAATACTTGATTGTATCCACCACATTTACACGTATTGTCGTAGTAGCAAGTCAGTCCGTGTGGGCAAATATCTGTATTGTTGCCGTGTGCTGTATAAACGAAATTAGATTTATAAAAGTGGTTCACGAATTTATTCGAAAGATATTTATGTATGTGAACGCTTACGGTCACATCTTTGCCCCTCTGGACTATTGCATGGAGGTTTTGCCGGATTGGGGTGATTTCCACTGACAAGTGTGAAAAATGCGAGTATCACTAAAAAATTCATAATTTTGGGTGCTAGCTAAGCTAAATTGAGTCAACTCGTTTTTTGCCAGGCCTTTCTATTACCAAATGTATGCGAGCAATATTATTTGACACTTTATCATTCTATACATGTTACGACAAATGAATTGTTTCCAACACAAATTTTCATTTTTGAAGAAATTAAATTTTAATTATTATGTACTGAAAAAATAGTGTGAGTGGACCGTTGCTAAGTTGGATGATTGAGATGACCCCCTAGGTCAAATCCGGGTCAAGTGATCCCACACCCTCCAGTGGGGTGTCAATCGATCGGTCTAGATCATACGATCACTTTGGTATATTATAGAATTTTGTGAGATAAGAATTGGCTGAAAAACTTATATTTTGGAGATATTCTTCAAAATAAACGTTTTAGCTATCGAAATAGTACACTCGAGATTTTTAGCTTAAAAAATCAAGCTAAAAATTAGGATGATTTCCTCCTCAGGAATTAAGTCTCTATGTCTGCCTGTTTAAAAGATATTCAAGGTTAAAGTCGTTGGGCCGGACAAGGGGACTTTCGGCCCAAAGATTTAAAAATGAAAATTTTTTTCAAAATAATTCATTTGTCGCAACCGTATGGGGCACCGCCCATAGAAACGATGTCAGTTAATCGTGGTATGCGAGGAGAAAAATTCACTTTATTATTCACCTTAGCATTACTTAGAAACTAAACTAAACTAAAGCAATTGCTTTACTAGTCATCATGCAAGTACTGCACAATTGCTTGACTTGTGTAATTATGTAAGGCTTTTCCCTTATACAATGATAAAGTGTCAAATAATTTTGCAAGTATTGATTGATTGGTGTGTCGAAGTTGAAGGACAAATTGATAATCTTCTCACTCACATATAGCTCGTCATTTCACATGTGTTTTTTGTCATTGGAGAAGAATATGCAATTTATTCAAAAGAACAGTACCTATTTATAACATGCCATCCCGTAACACCAGTACAGATCTGTATTAAGATCATGATCGACCAAAATGTATTTATGCAATCACGCCCAATATTTTGGTGAACACTTTGAACTTCACATTCCTGTCACATTCAAATATTTCATGCTGACATTCAGTGTATTGGATTGCATAACCTGAGAAAATGACAGAAAAAGGATCTTTTCCCCTTTCGAATTTCGAGAAAAGAGAAAATTTGAGACGCATTTTCCAAGAAAACCTTGAGTATCGGACATATTTAAGTTGCTTTGTTTTTGTTTATCACAAAGGCATCTGCAACGCCCAAGTCGACGAATGTAAAGCATCAATAAAATGCTGGAATGCCATTTGATGATTTGTGTGGGTCGGGTTTAGCGAAAATTGAATATAACTCCTTAGTACCTTTACACAAAGGCTACGTGCACTTTTAGCCATTTCCTTCAATTGAAATTTGTCCTCAATATCCAAACTTTAAATTATGAGTTTATAACAATTTGTGTTACCGGAGAAAACTAGTTTTCCTTAAAGAGGTCATCATGTCGCAATTAATTGAAGATAGGAAACTTTTTTCTTAGAAAACAAGGTATTTAGTACGGCTTAAAATAATTTACGTTTCGTACGTGTAGGCCATTAAGGAGATATGATACTCGTCTCGTGCACCATCCTGGGTCGTCTGAATTTTTCTCCTAACCTCTCCTCACTGAAGAGTTTGAAATCCTGTAATGTTGTCGGAAACTTATTTGCGAAAGTTGCTGGAGGCGAAGTTGCATAAACTCGACATGTTCTACTCTACAGATATCAACATTGCTAACGACCTGTCCTTTGTCCCATTGTGAAGTCGGAAAATTCTTTTTTTAGTCGTGTTTTCTGTAATTGTGCCTGATTTAATCTCTAACAGAATAAATAACTAAAATTCGGTTGACTCGACAAGATGTGAGAAAAATTTACCTCTTCACAAACGGTGAAATAAATAAGAGACCTATTGTAAAGTACAGTGACCTCGCATTTTTTAGTTGTCTTTTAGTTATTTCACGTTATATCTGATCAAACAAAGTTGACTTAACTGGTCACCTTGTCCCAGAACTAGATAATTATTGCGATACAATTTCAAAAAATTTTGGACACTTTCGTTCATATACATGGAAAACAAATGACGACGACACTGGCGCAGTGACGGGTCGAATAATTCAAAGCATAGGAATGAAGTATGTTAAACCAAACTCGGGCCAAATGTTGCGTGAAGTATTATTTTAACAATTTGGGTCGTAAATCAGAAAAGCCTAAAAGCTAGCAATATATAAACCACTACATTTTGTGATGTATTATTATTTATTGCACAAAACGGTAGAATGGAATAATATGTACAATATATTTGTAGGTATATTTAAGTGTAACTGAGAAGGACGATTCTCCTGTTATTTATTACCCTTACGACTCACCCACCCACCCGACCAACCGACAAGTTGAAACAGAAGACGGATAATTCACAACTTTTTGATTCATCCAAGTCCCAAACGTATAAATGTTCTTTTCCAGAACGCCAACTCACTCCTTGTGTCTCCATTAGTTTGTTTTTAATATTTCCATAATTCAATTTCGTACCCCACCAGTTACAACAATGCAAACGAACAAATTTAGTGACGCTGTACATTTATTATCGTGTCAGGATAGTGTGTTTAGTCGTCCCGGAGCGGAAATATTCTTAACGCTTTGCTTTTATCTCTGCATTTCGTTGTAGAATTTGCACAAAAAATTGGAATGGTTCACTTGTGTATATACACACTTGCATATGTCTTGTTGCTATAATAAACCAGTGCTGATCTATTTTTGATGTGTTTCGCAAGAGGAAGAAGAGAAAGTCTAAAAACATGTTGAATAACTAAAGAAAATATTATTTGTCTGTTTTCAGATCTAAATTCCCCGAATATCCATCCGTTCCGGGGATAAAACAGTCACCTACATGTTACGAAATGTTGAAGTCACTTCTACATTTATTCAGATATCAGCGAATCAGGAAATTTGATGTTCCATCAGAAAATCTATTGGAAGGATGCTGACGATGCTTCAGTATTATAAATCCAACTGGCCTCGGATAGACTATAGAAAGAGGCACAATCAACCCTGACCTTTGCGGCCATTTGTGGGCTAAGACAAAATCAATGAATTCAAATTGAAAAGATCCAAGTAAATCCTAATGCGATACATGGTTGAGCAAACCCATAAAAAATCACGTCTGAGGAAAGTGCATCATATGTCATAAGCGATCTCTCATTACTTCTCTTGACGCATTGTAATTTATCATGTACAATATTGTTAAGCATACAAAATAGCTATAATAATGGTAACGTCTTGCTTTGATCGAGAAGCTATGTATACAAAAAAATTATTGCTACTACTTAAGTATTATCTATATATATATACAGAGAAATGTAACTTTACTGTTTGAAAAATAAGACATAAAGCTATATCGTTTAAAAACTTGGAAATTTTGATGAAATTATTGCATAAGCCAATTTCAAATAATTTCCATATTACATTTCATCTGTCCTTGTTTTACTGCTGAGGATGCAATAAAATGATAAAATTCGAGTCTGGAAAACTTTTTACAAAAACAATAAAATGCGTATCCATCGTCTGGGTCGATTTATTATGGTCATACATAGCGTGCATTATTATGCTTATGCAACTTTTATATTAAATACAGACTCATCTCCATACACAAAGTTGTATATTGGATATCGACTCTTTGGATGGATGGACGAATCCTAATATTGATGCACCTCACCGACAGCGTCTTTTATGACGACGGTGACTCGCATTGTAGTCGAAAACACAACCCTTATTTTTACTCTCATTACACACCCTTGTAAAAAACTGTTACGGTTTGATACAGGAATTTTATGAGAAAACAGCCTTACTCCGCTTTACACACAAACTTAATTTTATCCAGTCTTTGTCCCACCCGACAAATGGAATTGTCTCACAATTACTCAACACTTTTCTTCGCACATTTTATTCACGCAGAGCTCCTGGACTTGGAAACTTCATAGTGCGAATCTATAAGTGAATGTGTTCACGGGGAAATTGAGAATTTTCTCTCCATGGGCATCTTGAGAAAGTCTCACTTTCCTTCTTTCCCTCAAAATTGCTGCTCTGAATTTCATCTCGATATTCATAACGCTTCCCTTCCTGCAGATCTGAGAAGATATTGCGATCCTGCGCCAATTTTTCACTAATCCTTCCTTCCATCCATCCAAATGAGAGTATCAACATCCACTTTGGCTTGCCAACATCAAAGGAAAGGTGATGCTTCTTTCCTATTTGATATTCACGAGATCAAGGCGACCAGGACGAGCTGTTGGTGAAAGAATGAAAGGGGACGGATGGACGGACACGCTTCATCGCATCTCAATTTTTTCCACTGATTTTTTTTACAACAAACTAATAACGCACTGATCAAGTGTGACGAGTGGTGGGGACGTGACCGAGTTTAGTAATGATGTTCTTCATCGTATATGTATTTTTAAAAAGTCGGTGTATTCATCTTCTCCATCGATATGAGATGGAGAAAGAAGAAGCAAGAAAAAAACACGAAGCGAGAGGCGATTGATTTTTGAGCAACAAAAAACAGGATGTGTTTCATTTTCATTCTACTATTTTATTTTAACAGGACAGGAGTGTGTTTAGATATTTGTTGAAATGGTTCGTTGATTATTTATACGTAGAATTAATAGTGTATCTTATTCAAATCTTTCCTTTGAGGTTTGACGATGATGATGACGACGACGGAGATAAAAGGACTGTTTACTTACAAGAGGATGTCGTCTATTTCTTTATACTTACTTACTATCATCTGCCACATTGGAAGCAATCTTAAAAATAAAAAAGTACCTTATTTTATTCCAGGCAAAAAAAACAAATTAAATATTCAATTCTAATAAATTTACACGTACACCTACATACATACAAGAAATGAGTAAAAGACAATAAATTATTTTCTGTCACGTCTACCGACGACCGAATCTCACCCGGATAAACGAGTGACAATGACAAACTGGGCTGGGAAATGAAGAACGAACGAGGACAGGAAATTAATATTCACATTTTTATTACCTCATGCCAGGGAAAGAAGGAGCTGTCTGGTTATTACATATTATACTGGAAATGTTTATGGCGTTTGTATTCCCTGTTTCTTATTAAGGGCCCGGGGGAAGATTTACTTGATTTTATGTTAGCAACAATAATTGCCAGGGCCCCAAGATTATTATCGCTCTGTTAGCACGATTGCTTGACATTAAGTATCTAGGTAACTCTTGGCTCTTTTAACGGTTGCGACAAATGGTGGAGTTACAAATAAAATAATTATTTTTTAAATCGTTGGTACACGTCCCCTGGGCCTGTGTACCAACGACTTTGACCTTTAATAACTTTTGAAAGGGCAGACATAGAGACTTGATTCTTAAAGATGAAATCATCGTAATTTTTAGCTTGATTTTTTAAGCAAAAAATCTCGAGGCTACTATTTCGAGAATTAAATTTGAAATCTGCAGCGTGCAGCCTTTATTTAGCCCGAGTCAGGGTCAGTGTCAGCTTCTAAATTTTAGTCAGACGACCTGCACCAACTACTGACTACTATTCGTAATCGGCAAAAATGTTCCCATAATCCAGCATGCAAAATTTCAGCTCCTTGACCAATTTTAAAACCAGTACGGGTCTCATGGGCCCACAAAAATATTCATTTTCATATTCTTTAGTCTGATGTGCCCTTACCCATGATACAGAATTTCATGTTTATTCTACCAATATAAAAAGCAATGTGGGTCACCTTGTTAAATCTCTGTGGAAAAAATCTTAATATTTACTTCATATTTTTCAATCTGGTCTACCCCCGCGGGGTCATGCCAAATTTCAGTCTTCTATGAGTGTCTGGAGCGAATTTCATCTTTTTAATACAATTTTTAAAAATCGATATGGGTCACCCCTTAAAGGTCCCTCCACATAAAAATGTTTTAATTCATATTCTTTCATCAGGCATTAGCAATCTCTGCACTAATTTCAGCTCGATTGGATAATTTTCAACAATCGGTATGGTATCGGGTCCCTCCAATCGAAAATTTTCCCAATTTAAATTAATATTCTTCAATTAGACACCATTAGCAATCTCAATGCCAATTTTCAGATTTTGAAATACTCCACCCACCCAGATGACCACCACCGGTCAACCACTTAATCGATTTCGCCCATCTTCAAATTTAACTCCTCATTTGCCACATACTACACATATACCAAATTTAAAGTCGCTAGGACAAGTTTAACGAAAGTTATCGTAAAATGATCAAACGGACAGACGGACGGACATGACAGTTCCATAAGCACTTTGACTGAAAATTACATTTCCAACTGTAACCAATTAACCAATTTCAACAAGTTTTAGTTTTCTAAAAATGAAAATTTATTTTGTAACTCGGCCATTTGTCGTAACCTTATAGATTGATAAAGTGTCAAATAATCTTGCTCTGTTAGGTTACGACCACAATTAATTGACACCGTTTCTATGGGACGTTCAAAAGCTTTGGTTTTGTCACTGCTTTTGAAAAAGTTTCCCTCAAGTCCCTCAAGTTTTTGAAAAAAGTTGTTTCTTTTGTTCCATGGATACTCAAAATGCAATTCCTGCCATTAATTTGGCAATTCTAAGCCAATTTGTCCTCACTTTACGACCAAATATCTCCACTGCACAAGAGGGCAGATCGTCAAAAAAAACTCAAGTAAAATCTAAAGATATGATTAACGCATTAAACATAATTTAAAAAATCTGCCCTCTTGTGCATTGCTGAATTTTATCGTCAAAGTTGACGTGATTTCTAAGCAACTTCCCCCAGGCCCTTAAGATTTCTTGGCGTCAAGGTCGACAATCGACAAACATGAACCATGGCAAAAAGATGCAATGTATTTCATAGATTGCGTTCTCCATTAAGAGCTTGGCACCAGACTAAATCTTGCCCGAGACAAAAACAGGACAGTTTGACTTTGGGTAAAGTTCCCAACTCTTTATTTTTAGGAGAAAGGTAAATATTTTTAATTTTGGTTTTAAAAATTTATGGTGCAAATGTAACAAAGTAGTTTATCAGAATATATATGTAAATTAACTTTGTTTCCAGTTTAAGATCACTGAAAGAAGAGGAATGGGTGCCTCGGTATCAGCTGCGGGGTCGCACAGTACGGCGCCCCCACCATCGAACATCGTTTTCAATTCTTCTCCGACCACACCCAAGGAAGACAAGTATAGTGCGGAGCCAAACTATGGCTTTGAGGGGAAACAGAGGAAGGAAAGAGGTGGGTTTATTAGTAATATTAATCACAATTAGTTGAAGGATGAAAGACAATATCTGGTGCTTGCTGTTTATTTATACTTTGCAATTTTTGTTTTAGTTCCTCCCATGACGCTGGCGGAAATGGCTTCTGCGAAAATAGAGCCAAAATATCGAGACTTTTGCGTCCATAAATTAACTGCCCTCAAGAAATGTAATAAGGACAATTTCCCATGGACTATGCCATGTGCAAATGCTAGGCATGCATTGTTTGAATGTCAATATGAAGAGTGAGGAATTATTTTTAATTATTCTGGGCCGTAATGGTTGGTTACATGAAGAAGTTAATGTCTTGTTTCAGTTACCTCATCCGAATGAAGGAATATGAAAGGGAGCGTCGTCTACTGCATCGTAAGCAGAGGAAAGAGGCTGCTTTAAAAAAGAAGGAACACTGCTAGACAAAGCTGTATTTGAATTTCTAGACCAGATTTGATTTGTAAATTACAATTGTGTAATATATTGATTATAACATCGCGAATGTAGGAAGTTCGACACGTAACTACTCAAAATTACTTAGTCATTAACTTAATTAAGGTTGCGTGAAAATACCAGTAAATATTGTAAAATTCTAAATGTGCTAACCTCTTCCGGACATTGTAGCATAAATCACCATTCATCTATTTCGGGGTGGTTATATTAGGTATTGGAAAAGCTTTCAGCAGAAGCTCCTATATAGAAAACAATCATACAATCATACGGGTTATTGGTAATTGAGTAAAATAGACGCAAATTTACATATTGGTCACCTTATTCAGTCTAACTTTTTCATATGATTTTTCGACCCAATTAATTATTTCATCTATTGAAGGAAGCTGCATTTTAGTTTCGACATTTCCTCGAACATAGTCCAGCCAAAATTCTTCCATGCAACTCTGCAATTAATGATTAAAACTTTGTAAAAATGGTTGAAACTCACCATTCTGCTGACTGAGATCTAAAACATACCAAGAACTCCCTTTTAATTCCAGAACTATTTAGTGGCTGCAATTTGGAAGAACATCCCGAAGGAAATATCTCAATATTGAACGAATCTGAGGTATATTTCGTCTTAAATTCATCGTGCAGTTTGTAATCATCCAGTAGTAACAGTGTCATTTCTTTTCCATTTCCAAGAACATTTTTTACCCAGATAAGCTCGTGCCACTTTTCCAAACAGCTAATTGTGGGTCCTGTATTCTCACCATAGTATACAACGACAGAATTGTGATTGGGAGAAGAATGCACTTGGAACAGGTCACATTGATGCTGGCCCTAATAGAAACGACAAACAAGTTCTATAAATCTAGATGGTTTTCTTTGTTATGATTAGTGTAATATAATAATCACCTTCAAAATTACAAAAGGGGGAAGCAGATTGCCATCCGCCATCAAAGTCAAAATGACAGTAGCATCGCAATTAGTGATGGAATATTTCCTAATTCGTGGCACTTTCATTTGATCTGAGGTTGTGTAAAGATCGAAAAAACTAAGCGGAATTTCGTCCATACTACCAATTCCGGATGGAACGTAGTTGACAAAAACGTCATTTTTCATACGTTCATTGAAAGACTCTGCATCTTCATTTAACTGAAGTGGTAGTTGGCCAGTGTAAATATCATCCCAGTTGAGAATTAGGTGATGTCTTTTCAAAAATCGCATCGCCCATCCACCAGACGCACAAAATTCTGGCTTGATTTCGGACAAGTTCGTTTGAGCAAACTCTTGCAGCTCAGGCACTGATACGGCATGATTTTGGTCGTACGATTTTAACATCCAAGTTAGAATAATGTCGTCCATGTCCTTGTGGGGATCGTTTGTCAGGCTGAAGCGTGCTGCAAATCGGCGATACCAACCGTACGAACATTGCATTGTGGAGTAGCCCTTGGCTCTGAAAAAATACAAAAGGATTGCTTTTGACCAATTTGTAAGATGGTGGTATATTTTCAGAATGACTAACCTGTACATTTCTCTTGCTTTATTTCGTATAATGGAACTGGAAACCTTAGTCGGAAGTTGAGCTTGGATCCACTCGTAGAGTTCCTTTTCAATTTCAGGATCTATTAACTGCTTCGTACTTCGAGATGACAAACTTAGGACCTCTGCAGATTCTACAGATACGCCAAAATCGGACGATGTCGATGATGGCGAAGCTAGAAGATGCACCCAATCAAACACTCTGCGCTGTGAAATGCACATCATTCTTGACACAGCTCGTTGTCCATACAACTTTGCATATTGGGCGACTTCTTCCTTGAACCAACTTGGATACTAAAAATAATAATTGGGTACTAAATATGAATGCAATTTCAGAACAAAATACGTATTTGGATTTACACTCGTGAATTTTACGAAAATGCCTGTCTCACAAAGTTTGGTGTGCGTATGTAATTTTTGAAATTATACAATGGGGATTTTTAAGTTACCAAATTATTAAAATTATTATTTATTTCAGTCTTTATTGTTTTAAAAACATGATAATAAAATAAAATGCATTAATAACTACCTACAACTGTACTCTACCTCTACCCAAAGCCATGGCAGACTCTGCCAGACTTATTCTTTCTTTTAGCGTCTCCATTGTCTCCTCGTCCAAGTCACACCCCACATTTTCGCCATCAGAAGTTATAACATTTTCTTGAAGGAGAAAATGTCCCATGAAAAGTCTCAAACTTTCTCTAAATAACATTAAATTTTCGGAAGCAGCAGTTTTCAAGAAGATTTCTTGCATATTGTCGTCGTCTTTTTGAAGTAGGATACCACACAATACTTCTTTGAGGAATTTTAACTTGGTTTTGTCCATTTCCGCGTACTCGATAACTTTCAGAGATGACAAAGCCAAGCTTTTGTCATTTATGAGATGAACTAGTAGCTTAGCTAGATTGATGAGCTGGTAAGACTCGAGCTTATCCAAGTCCTTCAAACGGTCCCACAAATTGTATTGTAGAGTTAGCATGTGCTTTCTATCAAGAGTGCAGAATTTGGAAGCGACGAAACCATAATACGGATTGAACTTCTTTTCATGAATGCAACAATATGTAGTCACGTGAATAATTTCTCGCTCTTGATTGTGCTTTAAATCCAGTTGGTTTAATTTGTTGAAAGCGTCAACATAGTCCTATGAAAAACATATTATTATAAACGACTTGATACAAGATAATTACCAAGTTAATTACCTCAGCCGTCATTAAAATGAAAAATACAGTTTTTCTTGTTTCTGTATTCATTCCTAGTGCTCGAGCTTTGGACATAAGTTTTTCATTCTGTTGCTTATCTTTGCTAAATGTTGCGGCATCAACGGACTTGGTATCTTTCTCAGCATCGCCGATGTTTGACCAGGCCGAACCAACAATCCACCAGCGACCTTTCGTCTCAGCTATAATCAAATTCGTACATAAATCAAAGGAAACATTATTAGCTTATTTTTATCAATTAACAAATGAATAGTCTTAAATAAATATTGCACCATTGAGAAGATCTTCGAGTTTGATTTTCATTGTGCTGACATAATTTCCTTTGTGAATATGCGACTTTAAGTTTTTAGCGAGATGATCACCAACGGAGGGGTCATAATTAGGAATTTTTGTCATATTATTGTTGCGAATTGCTGTCACAACCTCCAGCATGAATTTCACTTTGGCACTGAAACATACATAATTGCAATTATAGTAAAGAAAGTGTGATAATGTGTAGTCAGGTTGCTACCATACCTGTTTGTAGTACTAGTCTTGCTAGCAGTTGCTTTTTGTTGGATTAAAATGATTAGTGCTTTCAGCTCTATCGGGTCATCTTTTCGAAGCCGAAACCCAATACTTCTCAAACACGCCAAAATCAGTTCAACGTCAATTGGTTTGAAATTACTTGCCAGAAGCTTCAAAATGTCATATAGAAGGCCAGAATCTACCACCTAGGAAAACAAATTATTCGTTACTTACACCAGCAATGATTTTATAAATTTCTAATACAATGAAAATTTTTGCAACCTTGAAATGGTACATAGACGAAATTAAAAGCAACAAATTCTCCAACTCTTTACTATCATCAATTTCTGTATCGGTAGAGTCATATTTTGTTTTGAAGTTGTCCACAAATTTTTGAAGAAAAAATGCCCCTGAAAAAGTAAAACGTATATTTTGAAAACTGTGTGCTAGAAAATATTAAGTAAAATGAGATTTCGATTTGCATTACCTATTTCGGTTCCAATGTTAGCATGAAGTATAGCGATTAACATTACATGTTCTAAAATTACTCGATCCGGAATAGCAACCGTTCGCACCAATGCAACGTTTAACAATTCCAACATGCATTCGTTAATTTCATTTCGACTATTTTCCATGTAAAGCTCTTCAATCTATAATGCAAATCAAGGTTATAGTGATTTGAATATTATCGCGAATGAACCATAAAATCAAAATCAAATATAAATACCTGTTTTGAAATGGAATTCATGTTAGCTTCCGACATTCGATTTAGTAGTCCCTTCAAACTTCTTGATATCCTATCCTTTTGGGTAAATTTTCCCCTCTGATTTGGAGGAACGTATTTCCCAGTGGGAACAACTGTCACTGGTTTGTCTGCCGTTTTGACCGGATCGGATTTTGATACGTTCGTCGTGATTTCAGTGGGATTTAATTTTACATCAACCTGCACAATAAAGAAAACCGCAAGTTAATTTGCAAACAATGACACATATTTACAACCCAGTTAATTCCAAAAATACATACCACAGATCCATCCTTTCTTCTCATTCTTCCATAAATATCTTCCCACAAGCCCTCGTCCTTGGTTTTCTTTTTCTTCTTTTTTGGCTTTGGTGACTCCTCTCCGTTATCGAGACTTCCTTCATTTTCTGATTTATCCAAGTCACTGTCTTCAGTATCGTCGCCAAGGTCTGAATCGTCACTTCCTTCAGGAATATCACTTAAAACCTCATCGTCACTGTCGTCTTCATCAGCATCACTCCGTTCCTGTTCATCTTCTTCACCAATTTCTTCATCCCCAGATATATCATGGTCATCTTCCAAGTCGTCCATACTTTCTTCACTGTCTTCATCGTTATCCACGCTTTCATCTTCATCATCGTCATCCAATTCTTCTGCCTTACCCATGCTTTTACTAATTTTATCCAACTTTTCATCATCTTCTTTTTTTGTCTTTTTTCTAGATGATTGACATAATTCCAGCAAATCTATTAAAATAAGATATAAAATATAAGATATAAAATATACTCGTTTCTCCTACAGAGGATCTCATAATTTTCATGCCACTTACAATCCAAACCATCCGTTCTAAAAGAGGCTGGTATTTTTGCCTTCTTGTTCAATTTAAGCCTCTTCTCCATTTGTGAAATAAACTTATCTTCCTCTGCATTTTCCTCCAGAATGCGTCGTTTCCTCGTCGTCATCATCTCTTTTTTCAATTGCTCCAACTCCTTGTCGTCCTCCTCCCTTTCCGAAGCAGCTCGCGCACTTGGGCCAGGTTTGTCACCCTTATTTGTCACTTTCGGAAGTGCCCTTACATATTTTCCAGTTTGATCGCCATCACCGTCATTATCTTGACCCTGGTTATTCTCGTCTGCTGCTTCAGCCATCTTTTTATTATTATTTCGATTTCGCTTCCTATTCTTCCGTACCCGTTTCTTCTTGCCGGGCTTTTCTCCAGTGTCTGGCGTTTTTCCGAACTTGTTCAGAATATACTTATGTTTCGTGGCCTTTTTATTTTTACGTGTTTCTTTCCGCAACTCTTTCCTAGTTTTAGGCTTATCTACGGGCTGTTGGAAGCGTCCTTTTCCTCGACCCCCACCAACAGATTTCTTTCGGGGAGGACTGGAGGCTCGTTTCAGGATATGTGTGAGATTGTGTTCCGCAGCACTTTGATGTAGTAAATGCTTAGATTTCATGGTTAATTTCACAAATTTGTGTTCGATGATTTTGACAATTTCTTAATTGCAAATTATTTCTATACACTTTAATTGTTATATTCAATAACATGCACATACAAACAACTCAGTGAAAGCAGAAAGTGTGTATTAATTAGAATTTCTAACTTAGAAAGTGAAAATTCGTAAATTTGAGTTTCCGGCTTTCACTTGATCACATCGCGCACATGTTGATTGCAATGTGCACAGCACACTACGCAAAATGCGCTTCGACGATGTACCACTCCACCCCGTCAGCAATTGCAGCTCAATATCAATTATTTTCTCAAGACGTTTTTAGTCAAAAATTTTGACTCAAAATCTTGTCATGACTGGTTGCCAATTTATATGGATTAAATTGTTATGAGTATGAGCGGCGGTAATGTAAATTAACTACATAAGTTAAATACATTTAACAGATTCATGTGAAATAAAATTGTGCAAATTGCAAAATATACACAAGATGTTTTCGATTTCGATTTGAATGACCTTCAGCATGCCCTAGTCTAATTATTTCTGAAATAATCCGTTGAATTACCTTGATTCTAACAGTCGAGGCAGCCGCAGCATCCCCTTCTTCCGCAGTTGATGTGATCATATCATCAGCAGCAGCATCATAACTTTCTCCATGAAGTCTCCTTTCTTCGTTCTCCAGAAAGTTTCTATTTTTTCGCACGTTTTCCCACCAAATCGCCATCCATGATGATTTTTTCGCCCTGGTTGCCAGTAATGATGACTCCAAAATACACCCGAGTTCTTGATAAAGGGTGGCTTGAACTTTGACCACGTTATTATCATTGGCCGAGATTAATCGGACATTTTTCATGCATTCTCTTAAAGAATCGTCTAAACTGGAACTGGAAGCCTCGTTAACTTTAAATGCTTCACGTGCCGAGACAAGTTGCTTAATTTCTAATTGTCTCTTGCGTTCTTGTATCCACTCTGAAATTGTGGTGGGATGAATACCAAACTGTTTGGAGGCCTCGACATACGACACACCGACATTTGCGTCATTTTCACTTCTTTTTCCGAGAACGTAATCAACAACTTTCTGCTTGAATTGGGGTGCGTAACGCTCTGTAAATCTTTTCACAGGAAAACTCTTTGACGTTAAATTATCAGAGCGAGATCCAGAAGGAAGTTGAGAATCCATTGGAAATATATTTCAGAAAAGTTTTGTGTAAATGGAAAGTTGATGGAATCATCTGATGATCTGTTTTTTTAGGGATGAGAGAAGAGGAGTAAAATGAGGCAAGGAAAAGGGTACAGTACTTAATTCGTCTCTTTCTTTTGGTAATAAATAAATGGAGATGTGATTTCATTTGGAAAGATGATGTGATGATTACAACTCATGCAAAATGGTAGCCAATTGGTTAATTAACAATTAAATGCTTATATTTATTAAATTTTTGCTTCATAAGCTTTGTAACAGATCTAAGGAAGACAATTCCACCGGTATATGTATAAGTAAAATATCATGTAGGCACCATACATTTCATTATTATAGATTTGAGTAATCGATGGATCACTTTTTAGCGATACCCACAATATGTGGCGCCATGAGAGTTGCCAAGAGCTTTACTTTTCCCTTCAAATTAGAGTTATCCAACATAAATTCTCTGTAATCCACGGTGGAAAAACCACAGAGAGAAATTTCTGAACGAATAGGCAGAAATTTGCAACCGTCGCAGAGCCATGGCCAAATCCGACTCCATGTTAAGGCCTTTTGGAGTTGGGTGCGATGTGGGACATATTCGTCTAATAAATGTTCCATGAAATAGTATCGTCCTCCCTGAGTACGAATTAGAAATTTATATTTACATCCAAATTTAACTGAATCGTGAATGAATGAATTCCTCACAGGGACAAGAACTCGTCGAATTTCTCTCAGAACACTTTTAACATTTTCCACCGAACATAAAACGGTGGTGGTGACGACAACATCCACACTGTTAGAGGCGACACCTTTCAGATTTTCCCCAGAAGAAACAATGAACTTTTCCAAATTGATATCTGGGAACTGCACACACGTGAATTTGAAGTATGAAAATAGTTAGATATTAGCGGCCTATATAATTTGTCGAATGACAACTCTTACCGACCTTTGATTTATTTTCGTCAAAATATAGCTTAAAGTAGAAATTCGGGTCAACGAGAACTAAGCGACATTGTTGGGGATAGTATTTGAGATTAGTTCCTGTATAAAGTCATTATTTGCCTAAATATTACATATTGCACAATTATATTCCATAATCATGTTCAATCAATTACCTGCTCCAACTCCAATTTCTAAAATTCGAATTACTCCTTTATTTCTCAAATCCACCACTTTTGACTCGATCTGTCTTAAATCGTCGAATAATGCGTCTTTTATGTCAGAAAGGAGTTGTTCATGGACTTCGGCGAATTCCTTCATCATCCATTTGAAAATTCTGTCGAATGTAAAAATAAGTACAATAAGACACTGCAATTTTGAAAATTAAATATCCATCAATATATTAACATATGCACAAAATGTTCCGGACCTTTTTTGCAGATCTCTCAATGAATCTGTCAACACAACAATAATAACAAATCCAAGAAGACCGAATGGTATAAAATACGTCCATAATGTATCTCGAACCAATATATCGAATTTGGACATTTTTCTGTCCTGGAATGTAAATTGGTCCTGCGTTTGTCTGAATGTAACGTTTCAGTTTAAAGTCTCAACTATATGAGCATGCGCGTCTTGTTCCGAATTATTCGTGGAATGATCCCAAAATACCAAACTCTGTAAATCCAAATTAACCAAGTTAAAAATAATTTTTATTTTCTCAAGTCTTTCAAACCTTAACCCTGAGGTAAGGTCACATTAAAAACCTACTCCAAGCAACTTTGCGGGGCCTTTTAAGACGGCATTATTACATAAAAGCCAGACTCTAATGAACGATTGGCATATAATTTTTAGCTCGGACTAGGGCTTATGTAATCGACCTGTCCGTCTGTCTGTCTTTCCATAACTCTCGAAGGAGTAGGCTGAATTTTACCAAATTTGATACAGACATGCATCTGGGCATCGACCGAGTTCGAAGATGGGTTAGTGTTTCTCACGGGTCGGGTTCTTGCAAATCCGAAACCCGAACCCGAACCCGATGCCACTGATCCGAAACTTGAGGGCAACCCGAACCCGAAACCCGTTTGCAACGATCCGAACCCGAACTGGCGGATCAAATCCGAAACCCGAACCCGAAAAACCCGAATATATTTTAACTTTAAGGGGTGACTGGCTTTTTAGCTAAAAATTCTTTGGAAGGTTTCAAACAAACAATACTTCTGTAAATATGACCGAGGAATTATAATTAAGCACATTTCTGCATAAGTACATAACTCTTAATTCCTTGACCATAATAATGCTATCTCAAAAAATCGACCATGAATAATGGCTTTCCGTGACATTCAGAAATTTTTAAATCAGTTGAAAACTGAAAATGATTTTCAGTTTCAAGTTTCCAATATTAAAGTAAGCTCAAGCTAAATATTTTGCAAATTTTTGATAAAAAATATATTTTATTTTAATATTCAAACCATAACACTAATTGAAGACACTTGTGAAAAGAAGTTACGACAATTAAAAATTTGAATTATTTAATGAATTACTGCAGCATAACCGTCGTAGCAAGTTTGGTTAACACTTTATTTTCTTTTTTAATGTTTTCGTGTTCGTTGTGGCAAAAAGTTCTTGTTGGTTCGGGTTTCGGGTTCTTAGTCGGAACCCGAACCCGACCCGAACCCGAAATTTTGGGATCACATTTCTCGGACCCGAACCCGAAATTTTGGGATCACATTTCTCGGACCCGAACCCGAACCCGAAAGTTTCGGGTTCAAAAATTTCGTATCCGAAGCAGGACCCAAACCCGATCCGAACCCGAAACCCGAAGTAAGAACCCGAACCCGTGAGAAACACTCGATCAAAAAACATTTAGACCAATGAGTGGTACCCTGGACACGACTATCACCTCGAAAGTATCCCTTGTTAGCTAACTTTTAATTTCAAATTCTTTGATGAGAAGCCACTAATTGTAAGTATTACCGTGCCGGATTTCATGTTTTTAACGCAATTTCTAAAAATAGATATGGATAACCGCATCAGATATAAATTTTACCAATTTCATTTCATATTGTTCCATTAAGACCCATTTGCAACCTCTCTCCCAAATTTCACTTCGATATGACGATTTTGAAAAATCAGTATGGGTCACCCCATAGGGTCCATCAAGATTAAAATTTTTCCAACCTAAATTCATTTTTGTCTGTTACAATCCACTAGCAACCTTTGTTCCAAATTTCAACTACCTACTACAAATTTTAGAAATCCGTCGGGTCACCCTATCGGGTCTCCCAGGTTTAAAATTTCTGAAACTCCACTCCAATTTAAACGCTTTGAGGTCAGTCGCAATCTTCATACTAAAATTACTTAAAATTATTACTATAGATATTTCTCAAGCTACAAATATTTTACTTACACTTAAATAATTTAACCTGCTCTAAAGGTTCTTGGTAGTTAAGGGCAACGCATTTGGATGGAAATGACCCCCACCGGCCAATTACTTGACCGATCATGCCCATCCCCGAACTCATCCTTACTTTTGACCCGAAGATGAAGTGTGCAAAATTTCAAGTCGATAGCTTTTGTTTAAAGAGAGTTATCGTGCGCACAGACGGACGGACAGACAGACATCTTGGTAAATCTATAAGGCCATCTTAAAAGGCCTAAAACGTAATCACCCGACACTTATCAGCTTTGTTATCACTTATCATAAACTATTTCGCAATACAACTTCCCCATTTACTTTCTCCTCCCATGAGAGATGTCTGATCAACACCAACTTTCTCCGGCTTATCAAGCCAAGTCCGTCACACAATTTGCATGATTATCAATTTACATAATAACACATGCTTAATTTTTTACGGATTCATTCCCGGTACGAGTTAGAAATGTTCACTCTGCCGCAACAGCTCCATCCTTGAGCCGACTTATGCAGCCGCCACCAAAATCTCGCTTTCTTTCTTCTTCTCATCCTCGCCTCGTACACTGTGCTCACTCTTCTCCGTTCTCCTGCTACGAAGCTCAGCACGCGAACCAATATTTGGAAATTAAAAATTTCACGAAATTTCCTAAAATATTAATCTCTGAACTCATCCCACCACTTGTGCAACCCTTAGAGAAGACAACTTCGCAAAAAGTTTGGTCAAAATCGGACCAATTTTGGAACACTGGACAACTTTAAAACCCGTAAAAAAGGTATGATGATGACGGTATTTATTGAAAGGGGTGATTTTATGCATGCATGGTAGCGCACTCTGTGGGGAATTTGGTAGGCGGCGATGAATTAAAAAATGGGTAACGTGACAGAAGTTCGTAAACGTTTTTTTAGTAAATGGTTAAAGACTGGTTGGTCAAGGTAATTGTGGAAATTGGTATTAATTTCATGAAATGGTTGGTATTTTTCGTGTACTTTGAGTAAAATCGACTCGGATATTTTATCGATCATCAACTTGTTGCGTACGTACAGTCATAATATAGAGCTACATAATAATACGTGCATACTCGTAACCGTAACCGAATACCATTTAGTGAATTAGTGAATAGTTAATTATGCAAAGTTTTCTCAGAGGCTCTGAAAACCACACTCATTGGAGAGGTTTCAATTTACGCCATAATTAAACTTCAACATTGGCGCAAATGTAGGATTACGTATTGCTGGTGTGTAGCTTCGCATTAAATTTGATTTATGGCTACGTTGGTGGCGTTTTAATATTATTAATTAGCAATTTCATAATGAAAGTAATACATGATTTAGTTATGCATTTAATTACATACATATTTTTTAAATACAATTTATAGAATAACAACTATTGATCGCATCACACCAAGACGAAAGTTGTCGCCTTAGACGACTGATTTGATTTCCAAGATGAACAGTCAAAATCAACCCCAACCGCAACAACCATGTGTCGTTCCTGTGAACCCAATTCAACGTTTGTCGCAATCGCCAGCCGTATATTCTGGTCCGAATACTCCCATCAGAACAGCGACTTACACACTTGTCCAAACTCCGTCAGGATTTACCAAAATCCTCTCAGCTTCCCCCTCTGCCAACAATGATCAACAACAACAACTCCCTTCACCCAACTTGAACAAAAGCAACTTCCGGATTGTTCCCCGACAAATGATGAGCGCCGGTGGGCAGGTTCGATATGTGGTGAAAGGCCTCAGCCTGAATACACCAAACAGGTTGAAAATGAACATGAATGGTGTTGGCGTCAGACAACAGTATCAGGTACAACAACAACCATTTGGGAAGCAGCGACAGGGGTTGATTAACGTGGGGGGTATTCCGGCGCTCAGGATGATTAATCCACAACAGGCCCAACAACCTCAGCAGCAGCAACAAGCACAGCCAGTCACTTTTAAGAGAATGATGGTCAATCCGGATGGCAATTTAGTTGCGACAAAGAAAATTCCCGTAGTAAGAGTTGACTCCCCTGTATCAATTCATAGTGGTGGGCCAGCTTCATTGGAATCTTCACCAAGAAAAACCACAAATACGCCCCCATCATCATCTGCACCAAAACCTGCGAAGCGAAAAAATATCCGTAAGTTAAAAATTTAGTAATATAAAGATAACAACTTAAATGTAAACATCTCATATAATTCAAATGTGGATATATTTTGGGTATAGAAATGCGACTTCGTTGCCGATCTCGACCACTGCCACTGCACGCTACGTATTTCGAAAATAATGAAATTGTGGATAAAGATGCTGATGTCATATTTCTCTGTGGAGATGGAGGTCGTGTCAAGGCTCACAGAATTATCTTGGCTACACAATATAAATTATTGACTACTGCATTTATCGACCAGGTAAAACAATTACTTGAGGAATTTTTTAATTGGTTAAATTAACATTGTCAATTACATATTGGTGAAATTGATTTATTTTCAGCCTGCTCATGAGATCAGCATGGTCTCTGTCCCCGACAGTAAGTAATTAGCTTAATTCAGAACAACAGTAATTATGAGCAATTAATTAATTGTCAACAAAAATTTGCTACTGAAATTTCATAGTTACCAGCGACACGATGAAACTCATCATTCTCTTGGCTTACAAGAGCGACGTTGTCATCAACTCGGATCAAATTGAGAAAATGAAAGACTTCTTCGAAATGTTTGGAATTGATTTTAGCAATTTGGCTGTCGAAAGTAATGGGAATGGGAGGAAGATGGACGTGAAGCCTGGAAAGGTGACGGACGACATTGGACGGAATTATGATGGGGGTGTTGAAGGCCAGCGAAGAAAGTTGGTCCCATCCTTTACTTCACAACAACTCACAAATTTGCAAAAGAACAAGACTGTTGGCAACTATAGGCCGTCATCTTCAGGACATTTAGATTCGGATGAATATGCTGAGGGATATGTTATGGATTCGCAGGGCGAATTATACTCATCCGATTCTGACGGCGAGCAAACTTTTAAAATTCAAGGTTATCCTAGTACGCCAAGAAATGATGGTAACATTGTAAGTACAAAGAACATTAACATAAATTATAGTTGCATATCTACAAGTGCAACTATTTAGATGATTATTTACACCAACAATTATGAATCTATAATTCGATTTTCTAGGAACGTCGTAAATCAAAGCTCACCCCCAGAATTGAAACTGAGACTGCTGATGTACCAGACACTGAAACTGATGAAACCTTGCTAAAGGAATGGATAGACATGGTTGGAAAGACTGAGCCAGATCCAAAACGTCCTCGAATTATTGCAAAACCAAAACTCCAATGTAAAACTTGCAGTGCTACGTTTTTTAAGGAATCAGCCTGGAAATGGCATCAAGGTAATCATAATAGCATTTTATCATCCATTGATTAAATTGATAAATTAATTATGTTTATGTATAGTAACAACTTCTTACTTAATTTAAAGTAATACATTTGTGTTTATCCAGATCGCCACGTCAGACATGGAATCTACAAATGTTCTCTTTGCGACGAACTGAAAACGACCGCTCGCACCATTTGGAACCACGAAGAAAATGTTCACAACTTTATTGGATTACCACTCGCTGAAATTGAAGAATCGCCCATTGCACCTCAAACATCAGGAAGACCTCGCTTACCACCTCAGCAACAAAGTAAACCTAAATTGGTCCCTCACAATGTCCTCCTCGCTCAAAAAATGGCTCAATTGAAGCGAATGAACCTTGCAAGTAGCCAAGCAAACAAACTATCCGGTAAAATTCTCCGCACATATAAAGGATTTCCACAAGCAAACCACGCCATAAAAATTGGAGAGGCGTCCGAGTCTGGAGAACTAGACGCAAAAAAGATAAAGCAGCTTCATTGGCTCTATGTTTGCGCGAGATGTGACAACTGCTCCGACTCTGCTGACAAGGCTCTATTGCATTTCAAGAAATGTTATCCTACTGGCGAATCTCTCTTCGAATCCACCGTTACAAAATATCGCCAAGGATTTTACGGGCGAACCAAATGTCCACTCTGTCCACGAAAATACGTTTCAAACGGAGGATGGACAATTCATGTCGGCCACCAGCATCAAGGATACCGACAACTATTCTCACACACTGGAAACTTGGAGGATAAACTGAAATGTACCAATTGTAACAGGAAGTTTGGATTCCCTGAAGAATTTCACTTTCATCTCCACCAAGGGGTGGAGTGCATAAATAACCCCATCAATGAGGAATCAATGCCCTTGCTGACTGCCAACAGAAGCATATCACGGGCTGAAGCCAGTGAAGCAGCAGATGCAATGGTGTCACCACCATCATTCTCGTCATCTGACAATGATCGCACAAAAAAGATCCAACATAAAGGAGCCGTTCTTGCTGCCGCTGCTGTTGTTAATAAAAAAGAGGACAAAAATACCACTGCTAAACCGGCGAAACCACAACCTGTCATTCCAACTCCTACACCTCCAAGAAGTGCTCGAATTGCTAAGCGTGCGTCTGCACTATTGATGGCCAAAGTTTTAAATGATCAAGAGGACAGTGACGATGAGAAGGATCGAGTTCCTGTAAAACGACGAGCATCTACTGCCGTTGCTGCTGCTGCTACTGCTGCTGTTTCGCAACGTGAAGTGCCTCCGGCAGATTGTCCATTCTGTGGTGAATCTGTAGCTAATATTTCACAGCATTTGGCCATCGATCACAAAGATATGGATCTCAGCGTTGAACGGATTTCTGAAGAAGACTTAAAGTGTTGCCGATGTCGAATGACTTTTGGAATCCCAGATTTGTTTGGGCATCCTGGAATTTGCCGAAAAGCTTCACAGAAGGGGAAAGACGAGGAAGCAAACGTGTCCACGCCGGTCGAAACACCGAAATCAAGTAACAAAAGAGAGAAAACTGTCCATGAGCCAATTGAGATTCCTGCTGGGGTTGGTTCCTCCTCAATTGATGAGATGGAATACAGTCTGGACGAGCTAATGACTAAAGAGGTACTCGAGAAAGCATTGAAGTGTCCCGTGTGCAAGAAACAAGGTGGACGAATGGGGGATATATCAATCTGTCTCAAGCAGCACGGAATAATGAGATGTTCTCTTTGCTTCAATACGTACTCTCAACGAGAACATTATGACCAGCACATGAAAAAGTGCCACTATGCCACCGGGAGTCGAGCAAAGTGTCTCTACTGCCCGGACAAAACGTTCACTAATATTGGACAATGTGTGGGACATTTGCACAACTTCCACTGGGGAGAAGTACTGCAAAAACCAAAAAGAGGGGGGAAAGCCGCAGCAAAAACAAACAAGCAAGCGAGGGGTGTAGAAAAGGCTGAATCAGAGGGAGTTTTGACGCCTGGAGAAGGTTCAAAAAATGATACCGAGAGTATTGAGGATAACTCGGCTCAATCGAAGGGAGACGACGTTCCCGAAACTACTGAGGAATTGGGACGAACTGATGAAAAGGATGATGATGGAATCGAGCTTGACCAGGATGAGGAAGCTCCAATGGATGTGACTGATTCTACAACTGTGACGACCACGGACACATCTCATGATGACGATGATTCAAAAACTGAAGACGTCTCACAGATTGATGACGAAAATGATAACGATGAGAAAGAACGTGATGATGATGATGCAGATGCAATCATGGGCGAAATTAAAAGCGCAACCCCGCCACCACCACCAGGAGAAACTTTAGTAATGGCCAAGAAGTCAGTCGTGGCTCCACTGATTGATTAATAATGACGATGATTTACAACGATGTTGCTTGATTAATTTATTATTTCTACCTAATTTTGAAAGATTCTTTGTTTCTTTTGTGTTCATTTTCATGAGCACTAAAAATACATGCGTCAGTAGTAATTCATATAAATACATACATATAATTTGCAATGATTATAATGCTTTTTTTATAATGGTAGATCTCTAGTATATTTTATTCGATAAAACAATGATAAATATAAAAATTTCCTTCAAAACAACAATATAATGACTTTCGAAGATGACTATGATTCCTTGATGAAATTTTTTTCTCAAATGATCTTGTGGGATTTTTCTGTGTAACTTCCAATTTTTGTACCTCATATTCTTGATTTATGTTTCGGCTGGCTACTTACAAATGTTTTTGTGAATCTGTCACTAAAATACAGCTTTTATTTTACGTTATATTTTTTGAGTAATGTATCCTCCATGATACTTAAAATTATAATATTTATACATTATTCATTTCTTATAATGCTTCTTGTATTTTCTTCTAAAGCTGTAGATGAATAAAATTTTAAAATGCAATAATGTTCGAATCGAATAATCTTTATTGTGCACTTCATATGGTGTACATAGTAAAATATATGTAGTTGCATCGATAGTTCTAGGTCTTCCATACTATTAGTAGTATAAGACTATTTTTGTAGAAAGAACACAGATGAGGTTGTCAAGGGGCCTATTCGATTTATCGTAACTGAAGACTATAGTTTCACGATTGCTTGACATTTAGTGCCTAGTTACCCTTAACGGTTGCGACAAATGGTCGAGTTACAAATAAAATTATTATTATGATAAATGGGTTTTATTTACACAGTCTTTTGTTAACAATGATTAATAAGTGTGTAAATATTAATAAAATATTAATTTTTAAAATTATTTTAAAATTGGTTTTTCTCCCATGGACGAAAAACCAATTCTCCAGCCAAAATATTAAAAAAATAAATTGTAACCCACGACAATTTTAAAATGAAAATTCATTTGTAACTCGGGCATTTGTCGTAACCCAATATTATTTGACACTTTATCATTCTATACATGTTGCGACAAATGAATTGTTTCCAACACAAATTTTCATTTTTGAAGAAATTAAATTTTAATTTTATTATGTACTGAAAAAATGGTGTGAGTGGACCGTTGCTAAGTTGGAAGATTGGGATGACCCCCTAGGTCAAATCCGGGTCAAGTGATCTCACACCCTCCAGTGGGGTGTCAATCGATCGGTCTAGATCATACGATCACTTTGGTATATTATAGAATTTTGTGAGATAAGAATTGGCTGTGAAATTCCTGAAAAACTTATATTTTGGAGATATTCTTCAAAATCAACGTTTTAGTTTTCCGAAATAGTAGACTCGAGATTTTTAGCTTAAAAATCAAGCTAAAAATTAGGATGATTTCATCCTCAGGAATTAAGTCTCTATGTCTGCCTGTTCAAAAGTTATTCAAGGCTAAAGTCGTTGGGCCGGACAAGGGGACTTTCGGCCCAAAGATTTAAAAATGAAAAATTTTTTTCAAAATAATTCATTTGTCGCAACCGTATGGGGCACCGCCCATAGAAACGATGTCAGTTAATCGTGGTATGCGAGGAGAAAAATTCACTCGATAGTATTAGTGATTTTTATATATATAACAATATAATTAATATCTTTTAGGTATATTGTCTAATGTTGTTTATAAACAATAGTATTAGTGATATTATATATGATCACTCGACCCCAATTTTTCGTGGCCGTAACCTTATAGATTGATAAAGTGTCAAATAATCTTGCTATAGTTTTCTCCGGAAAGTCGGAAATTTTTGAAACAAACTCCACAACCAGATACAGTAGATCCCTGAACGTTGATACTTGTGACCTTAATCTTCTTGAACAAGCATCTCATCCTCGCATCAATGCCGAAGGGAGGAGGGAAGGGTAAGCCGAAGGAGGCTGGGGGCGAGAAACCTGACAAGAAAGCTGGCAAGGAAAAGGCTGCATCGAAAAGGTCGCTTAGAAAGTCGCAATCGTCCTCCGTGGTAGCGAACGAGAATAAGCGACGTAGCGCTGCACAAGGGCAAGATGGCGAAGGAAAGGGGGCAGGCAAACAAGAGCCCGTAGTAGAGCCGGAGTGGAACAGTGAGAGCGTCAGGGCTCACAAATTATTAACGGTATTTAACTAATTACAGTAGAACGGGTCAATCGTAAATGTCACTAAATATGTAAATGAGAGTATCATGCGGTTGCTAAATAGGATGGCTTCACATACTCCATGATCATGGGCATGGAGGACTCTTCAGACCTCACTTCAATCGGATACTACTTGTATCACGCGATCAAAACTGGGGTTCGGAAGCGATTCATAGCGCTGAGTGGAGAGGAAATCGCATCGGTATGGAATTTCTTAATGTTTTTTATGCGAACATCTACAGTTACAATTTTGTTGGTGCTGTAGAAAGTCAAAAAATTCATATCAGCTTCAAAAACGGGCAACGAGACAAATCAGGAGTTAGATTTTTGGGAGAGGATGGACATTTGGGCAGAGGCTGTGAAACACATTCTGATTCAAATGAAGAGCAGTGTGACTACTGAATTAACTGCTGGGACGGCGAGAAAGGTTACCAAAATCCAAAATATAGTAGAATTTTGTAAATGTGTAAAATAAAATAGACGAAAAATTGTAACTCGTTGGCCTTACTTTCATTATTTCACTCAGGAGCTAGAACTTACTGGAGCGAGATCCAAGGATCTGATCCAACATATGCAAGTGCCCCTCAATTTGAAAGCTTCGGACGAGCAATCAGATGAAAGTGGTGGAATTCGAGAACCACCTCCCGTTCCACCCTCAACCAGCTCCAGACTGAACTCCGGAAATGATGCCGAACCAAATAGTAGTAAGCCAAATAAGAAGGGAGGAAATAAGGACCTCACCGGAGCTACTTCTACGGGATCAATAACTAAAAAATTGGGGTCCGAAGCATCAAATTCATCCTCAAACAAGTCCAGATCTACCAATATGCGGAAGCGCGGAGAGATACCATTGCCCAGTTTGGAAGAGATTAGTACGACGCTGTAATTTTTATGTGGCTAAAAATCTGAGCAGACAAATTGTAACAATATAGACTAACAGTTATGCTTTCTCTGCAGATGATACCCCTCAAAAAGGACCCGAATTGTATGTCATCTTGCAAGGATTTTATAATCCAAAAATTATCCAGGAGTTGCTCAAAATTGGTACTTTTTATTAAGAATTATTTATTCATTTTTTAACATTTAATATTTTAATAAATTCTTTACTAATGTAAAGGAGTTACTGTTGATGGAATTTTACTGCTCACCGATCAGGAAGTCACGAAACGTAATTTTAGTGTGGCCGACATTGAGGACAGCATTCCTGGAACCTTTCGCCCCCGAAATATTTTACCGGATTATCTCAAATATCTTGAACAGCAGTCAACGTTACCTCGTCAAGAGTTGGTTTCCATTTTTCAGTTCAATAATCATTAATTGATTATAAATAATACTGACTTCTGGATTGATTAGGCGAGATATTGTAGGCCAATTTTGGGCCGGGTTAGCCGAAATGTACAATTCTGCTCCGCCAGACTCCCCCTTATTGGACTGTGCACTGATGAATTTTAAACTTCCAAAGGTATCAGATTCATAGTTTGCATTCATCATCATAAATATTATTCATCTATTGCAAAATTTGTCATCATTTCAGAATGAGCATGGATTGGATACATCCGAGGCGAGAGGCGCTTATGCTTCCAAACTATTCGACGAAGCTGCTCAAAGGATTTATGAAATGCTAGTTATGAGCGATTGGTTTCATGATTATACAAATTGCTCCACCGTGAAACAGGCACGTAAACTGATCAAACTTATGAAGTGCCGTGGATAATTATCTCAATTTCTCACGTCTTCCTTATTTAAGATTAAACCTATGGAAAAAGAACTCGAACGTGAAATTTACGAAACTTTGCTTAACCAAGTTCCCTCAGAATGCGTCACCGTGCCCATCATTATGGATTGCATTTTAGAACAAGTGGTTTCAAACGTCGACCAACCTCCTCCACTTCCAGAAAATGCGAACAAGCAGGACCGCGCGGACGGCGATGATCAAGCAAAGTACGCCGAGTTTAACAAATTTGGGAAGCCCGACTGGGGAGACAGGATTTTGCAAGTTTGTTTTCTGCATATTATGTGCTACATTTGTTGTAAGTTATTAATTTTATTAATCCTCAAATACTCGTATTAAAAATAGGATGGTCTGAAAACTTTGAAGAAGCACAACAAGAAGGAGACTAAAGCACAAAAGGTGGTGGGGCCGGTCTTCACCCCACCACTTTATATTAAGTATGGAGATTATGCCAGCATTCGAGCCTGTCATTTAAATGGTCCGTTTACAACTATTCTACTCAATTCTTAGCAATCTTATTGCAATGAAACTTCATTTTATTTATTTATTATTATTTAATCATCAAACTTAGAAACTGTTGCGTCGCACATCGCATCTACCCAAATTGCTGGTGACCTCAGAAACGTGCAAGGACTCTTGTGGGGCAGTATTCCCGAATTTAATAAAGGATTATACATAAAACTGATGGCAAATCTGAACCATTTCATGTATTTCTTGCCCCCGGGCGCCATTCACATGGAAGGTGATTATAGATGTGCAAATAAAACTCCTAATCATATTTTTGTAAAATAATTGCCTTCCTAGACATGTTCTTCGTTATTCATCTCCTAATGAGCGCCGGAGTGGAAGCCCAATTACACAAAGAAGCTGAACTTGCCAAGTCCAAAGAAGAAGAGCAACGCTACGCCAAGAAAAGATTTTCCCAAATGGTCCACCACGCGACCACTGAGCTGTTTTCATCCCACACGGGCTTGGCTGAAGAGAAGACAATTACTGACACCAACTTGTCCAAGGATCACAACTATCTCGCCGTAAACGAACCGACCGGCGTGCACTTTATTTTGGCACCAGATTCCAACACTGAAATTAAAATTGCAACCGTCGGTCACAGCAAGGATACCCCCGACCTTGAGAACCCTACGCTTGCAACCAACAATAACGAACCCGCTGCCCAAGAAGAAACATCTCCTCCTCCACCACCTCCTCCAAACTCGGACCAAGTAGCGGTACAAGAAACACCTGCTTCAACTGTAGAAGGTGATCCAAAGGCTGAAATTGTGGCGAAACAACCGGAACAACAACCTCCTCCCCCTGCAACTTCTACTACTCACGTCCCTCCAACTCCAAAGGGAAAAGGGAAAGGGGCAAAAAGTAATCTCGTAAGTTTATATTATTTAACTAGTCAATCAAACAATTGTAGTACGAATGATAAAATTGATAACACTAGAAATTATTACAGGCCGATAAAACTAAAGCTGCCGACATTGCGGCAAAGAAAGTGATTGAAACCGCTGTGGAACTTGTAGAAGCTCCTCCCCCCACAGTTCCGGTCGAGGAAGCTTCCGTGGAACAGCTCGTCCCTGAAGATGAGGAAGAAGAGGGAGAAGAACTCACCGAAGGAGACGTGGACGAAAGTGTCGAGGAAGAAGAGGAAGAAGAAATGTCCTACAATTTTAGAGATGAAGAAGAACTACCAACAAAAACAAAGTCAAACAGATTCATCGCCTGTGAGTCAGAGTTTTTCAAAAGTATGAAGGACTTTTCCGTCTTCAAAGCCTTGCTCGAGTGCCCCGCTCTTTTGGCGATAAGTGACTCTGGAGCCTTGGACTTATCCAAGTGGGTCGAGACGTATCTTCTTTCAGCAGGAATGTCTCAAACGGGTGCGGACGGAGTTCTCATTGGAAACTTGAGCGATTGGAACTATGTGGAAGAACTTGTCCCAATTCAGACCGTCCAACTCTTGAATAACGCCGTGATGAGTTATCTGTCCATGCAAAGAATGTATTGTCCCTTTTACGACACTCTGCTATTCATTTTCAACAACCCGATTCCACTCTCGCTAAAGTCGGACTCTCAGTTTTACATGAGGTTGAAGACGCTTCCTGGGCTTCAGCATTTCTTGGGTGCGTAGTAATACGTTAGTAATTTGTTTCCGGATCTCATTAACTAAATCGACTCTTCTTTATCTCAGAATACACAATTAATGACAACGACGTGTTATCCTGGTTAATGGGAATCGAAAAAGTTAAAGGGGCCGAAGTCATAGATTCCTTAAGCATCACAACCCTCATGAAAATTGTTCCTGAAGAACAATGGCTCCTCGTTCCTAGCATCAAGTACATGCTGTACAAAGAACAAACTGGCCAATTGTCCCTAAGTGACGCGAGACTCCTGAAGAGTGCGACCGATAAAAGTGAGACAGCATTAGAAGGAGGAGGTGCAACGGAGGAGAAAGATAAAGGTAATAAAGGAAAGAAGCAAAGCATAGATCCAGAAAAGGACGAAGCTGCTGTTCCTCCTGAAGGCAAAGCAGCCAAGGGCAGAAGAGGAAGTGACAACAAAGAAACAGGCGACAAAAAGAAGAAAAGGCCCTCCAAAGATTATGCCACCGATGCTGCTGCAGCAGATGCCAAGACAAAACCGGAGGAACGTATTAATCCGCCATCTTCGGACATTGATGTCGATGTAATTCCCAGTTTTCACATCAGTGAAGCAATTGGTCAACGAAAAAGTATGCAATCAAAACCAATTAATTTTTATTATTCGCGTATTTATGCATTATTTTCAAATTTTACACATCTTGATTTGGTTCTGCAGGTTCCCGATCCAAAGCAAAAGCGAAGGAGATCAAGCCATCTGCCCCACACAAGACAAAGTTTGACTTTTACGACTTGGGAAAACGCGTCATTGTTGTAGCGTCTGATACGTACCACCTCTTCCCAATGGATGGAACTACGATTCAATATGAGATTTCGACCATTGAACCGGAATTTAGAATGATGCAATTGAGCATTTCGAAAAACGGGCACAGCACTTTTTTCTACCCATACTATATCCCACACGAGTTAGATATTTCGAAAGAATCATATGTCGTTTGTCCATATTTTCACATGGTGGGACGAATTACTCAATTTGGAAATTATTTAGCTGAGCGATGCTTAATTGTCCAATCTTTACTTTACAATATTTCCCAGGTTCACGCTAATGGCACAATTTTTGCCTTTCAAGACCGCCGTGCCTCAGAGTCTGCTCCATACATAAAAGTTTTATTGAAACAGAGTGCAACCGAAAGTTTGTTCTCGTACGACAAAATAATTTTTGGAGCGGACACTGGAGAGGCTGTGGAGGAAGCCAACCCGCCCGAACGGCAAGAAACCCCTCCCACCGACGGGAAAAAAAGGTCCGACACACATCTGAGTTTTGAAGATGAAAAGCAGGCTACACCTCCACGTTCACCCCCAACGGAAGACGGTGGTGACGTCACAGAAAAGGTGGATGACGACGTAGTTGACCCTGGAGATGATTCTGTTGATGGTGCTGCACAATTTTATAAAAAATGGACTCTTTTCAATTCATCACTGATGATTTTTGTTTATTTTGCAGCAAAAAAAGGAAAGAAAAAAGCTGCCAAAAAGGATAAAACTAATAAAGAGCAGGACAAGGAGAAAGTATAGCCACTAATTACGTAATATATTGTGTTAAAATTATTTTTTTAGCTACAAACTAAAATTCTTGTTTAGCCGACTCCGGAGCAAAAATTGAAGGAGGACAAATCAAAAAAGAAACTAAAGGGTGGGGATAAAAAAGGGAAAGTGAAATCCGAACTGAAAATTGACATTGGTACCGAGAATGACAACGAGGAGGAGGAAGAAAGGCCAGAGTCAGACATGCCTCAGGAAACCACAACTTCCCCCCATGATGCAGCAGAGTGGATTTATTCTGATGGAGACTTAACAGACTCAGAAACAGGGACGTATCAACACAGGAAAAAGAAGAGGTACATAAAAATAAATGCACTGCATGTTCTAAATTTGAAAAATAATAATTGTTTTAATTGACAAGATCGTTCTACGCTCCGAATTGGGACAAGGCTGAAATTCTTGTGGAACCAATGGTTCACACGATGAAGATAAGCTTGCCTTCGGGTCTTATGCTAGAAGTGGACGACATTTCTGGACCTCCATTAACTCGGGGGGTGAAGCAATCGTATGGAGCTCGAGGTTAGTGAACACTTATACGAGAATTACAAATTTTGTGTTCAATTTTGGAATATTTCAGGGACCGCATCTGCCAGGAAAGAGTCGTCTCGCTACTATACCTCGGGTGGGACTGTGATACGGTTTATGCAAAATGGTACTATCCAAATTTTAACGGCACGTGGCGTTACCACCAACATTCGCGAAATTTCAACAAAGTGTGTAACAATTATGATTATGCTATTTGTAATTTTATCATTAGTGCTTAGTAAGTAATTAGAATGTTTATATTAATGTCCTGCCCAGTGCACAAAGAGATGACGAAAATTTGCAGGAGATATTCAAAACTGCGGAAGATACAAAGATTTTTAATGGAGATATTATTCTCCCAACTGGAGAATTTTGGCATATTGTCGACGGAAAGAAGGTTCATCATGACCCGATTTATGTATTCACTAGTGGTCCTTTACCAAACGGCGAGGTAATGACAATAAATTTCCCATAATGTGATGTACCTGCAGCCAATTATTTTGTAAATTATAAGTAATTAATTAACTTTGATATTAGATTTTTAGAAGAAGGCAGGATGGCGTTGTTTCCCTTCATCGCCACGATGGGACCACAATAACTCATTATCCTGATGGCACCAGATTTACTACCAGAATGGTGATCCAGAGAGATTTGGTACGTGGCCCACGTAACGTGGGCAATTACGGCTGATTTTGTTTAATTTTAAGTCTGACTTTATGTATGAATGTACTTCTAATTCCAGCCTGAAGACTTGGAAGGATGGGTCGTTGTCGGGCTTAAATACATGGTTGAACATCCCAACTACTGCAACGTCATTTTCAACACTTTGTCCGGAAATGCCCACATCCGTCTACCTCTCGGCGACTGGGTGCGTGTATTTGCAGACGGAACCATGAAAGTCACCACAACAGACAATTACTCCATGGACGTGGACAAGAATCGTGCAGTAATCTCAAACCCACCTTGTGGCGATGGAAATGCCAGCATTCCTAACCTGACGGCAGTCAAACTCTGGCATGCCAGTGAATTTGCAACACCCACCGAGGAAACTGCCCACGATTCACAAAAAACATCGGCAGACACGGAAAGCCATTTAGATCTCGAATCTGAACAGACGAATGCAAAATTGTCGTTGGACAGTGATGGCAAACGGAGCAGCCTTCACGACACACATTCCGGGTCAAACAAATCCATCAAAGTCAAACCCATGAAAATGTCACCCGACGGAAAGAAAACAAGAGGGCCTAAACCCACCAAACCTCTTGGCAGCACAAAGTCACTACGATCCGTGAAGAAACGAACGTCTAAGGACGACGAAGACAAGAAAAGTATTACTTTAGAAGGATTAGATGGCGAAGCTCTAGAAGAAGAATCTTATCACGAGGAAGAAGATAACGATGAGGAGGAGATGGAAGGGGATGACGCTAGTGGTGAACACAACATGGAGGACACATTCGAACAAAGCAAGGATCATAAAAAATTCGAAATTCTTGACTTTCTCCAATTCACGGATACAACCCTCCTCTGCAAAGCTGTCGACTCTTGGGATAACAGATTCGCTGTTGACGTGTATGGTGAAACGATTGTGGATCGAGCCGAAGAAAGTGCGCCACGTTTCTCAACAGAGGAATTAATTAACACGCTATCAAAACATTGTCAACTGCCCAAGGAATTCGTATCCGGTATACTACGTACCACATCCAGCGACGACTTGGCCACTGCAACCAGACGTATCGCAGCCTTGAAAAAAGCTCCAATTGATGCCTGCGCAACTGGAGCATCCACTAAAATATTTGTCGTCAAGAGGAATCTTTCTTCCTACGAGTATTTAAAAGAGGGTCACGTGGAAGCGGCAGTGAATAAGGCGAGGATGGTGAGGGACGCGATGGTCATGATCGACCCACTGCCGAGTCGAGATCCAAGAAAGTATATCACCATCATGCAGCCCGTCGCCGAATCGGCTTCTCCTCGAGGAACTTGGACCAATAATTACAGAGAGCCCACCTTTCGACCCACCATTACAACAAATAAACAGTTACAAGTGGCGAATAGGGACGACCTCCGATGGTTTGGCTATGTCTTGACAGGGGCTAACGCGAAACGTCCAAAGTTTATCCCGAACGCTCGCGCAGAATTTAACAAGAAAGTTGGGGCTGCGAAGGGAAAATCTGTCCCAAATTCAAACACAGATGCGTTTATAAATGAGGACAATTATGAGGAGGAAGAGGAGGAGGAGGAAGAAGGCATGGAAGAAGAAACTGATCCGCACGAACTATTTTTACCGGAAGGAAAGTCAGACAAAGTAAACAGGGCGAGTAGTAAAATGGGTATAAACCTATAGTTCTACTCTACCTCTAAAGTTATTTTTAATGCACTATAACTAATCATTAATTACTTATTAACTAGCAAAAGACAAGGAGAAGGGAAAGTCCGGAAAAGGCGACAAGAAAGAAAAGGGCGAAAAGAAAGAGAAAAGTCACAAGAAATCAAAGCTCGAAATTCATAAGGAAGAAAGTACTCCAGACCATGGTGGAAAGCTAAAGAAGGGAAAAGCTTCTACTATCACGAAGAAAAATGCAAAGAAGGCAAACTCTAAAACTTCTATTCCCCAAGTAAGTGCTATTTCTGAGGAGGAAATGCCCCTTCCAGAAGTGAAGAAGGAACCAACAGCCCCGTCATCTCCCCAAGACAAAAATAGGCTGGATCAAACGGAAGTAGGACACTATCCGGCAAATGTTAAGGATATCAAAGGTTAGTTTTTTGTCAATTAAGTATGTCGATATCTACTATAAAATTTATGGTTGCAGGAATTTATGATGACGATTTCCCCGTCAAGTTCCAACCTCAGTTTCATGCCGACGTCTGCACCGAAAAGAAAGCTATCGTTGTGCGATCCTTTGTCGAGATTCCCCAGATTAACGAGAAGATGCAAAGGGCCTTGCTTGCTGCTTCGACATCCTACGCGCAAACTGTGGAAGGACAACTAGAAGCCTTTGAAGCAAACAAATTCCAGGATCCTCGGACCGAGGAAGAGATACAACATGCAACATTAATCAAACAAGAACTGATTGAGAACAATCTTTCAGATATGCACATGTTGGAACAGAGAGCAGGTCGCGTGCTTCGTTTCCATTTTTAAAACAAGACAGTATTAAACAAAAAGTATAAATGTTTGGTAGTAAATGGGACTGATAATTGAATTGAACGAATAAACGTGTTTTAATCCTGAATTGAGTTTTTTAAAATTACTCATTTCACAAAAATTATGATAAATTTAGCGAGTTAATTTTGGCGTCTTTTCTCTAGACTAGATATTGTTCAACACGTCATTAGAGTTAACTATAATTAACACTATATATAATTTTACTAATTGTAAAGAGGATTTTCTTAATATGCATTACCTAAAAATTATATGAAAGTTTCGTTACTTTCACTGTGTCTTTTCATCCCAGACATCACCGTAAGCATTCTTCCGTACCCTTGTACCACCTTCATTATTATTGTTTCGTAGGGGATATTGACTCTGGTGTGGTTGCCTGAAAATTTGTAATTAGTTGTTTAAATATTTAATTATATTTTAGCTCACATTTTAGACAATTCGTAAAATGGTGGATATACCCTTCAGAGGATCCACCTCTCGCGGGTGGTGGGGCTGGCATCGAAGGTGCAGGAGAGCTACCCTTGTGTTCAAATTCATCCCTATTTGACCTTCTTAGCTCATCGTATGACGTAGTAAACGTTTGTGACCTCCTTTGCGGAAGATTATCATCATTCAACATTTGCTGCGTCGTGTCATACTTTCCATAATCAACTCCACCAAACGTGGAAGCAGTTTCCGTATCAAATGTCACCAGTGGTCGAGTATCACCAACATCCGTAAACTGACCGGGTTCTTTTTTGGGGGAATATTCAGAGTCTGGAAAGGCAGGACCACCGATCGGACCCGCACTCACAAATCCAGGCTCAATTCCAAGCGTTTCTTGAAAACCCATCCTCCCCTTTTGTTTTCTTAACATATCGGCCAACCTAGGGTGTAATCGTTAGTCTAATAATTCTAGGCTCAGATTTCATGATGACCATAATAATAAAAGATTTAATTTAATAAATTGAACCAACGGGCTGTTTGGGATTTGCATGAGCTTCTCGGCACATTGTCCTTGGTAAGATAATTTACCGATAAAGTAGCCAAAAACCGAGGCTGCAAACATTTTGGGTCCAGCTCCCCATCTCGCACTTGGTTTGAAATATCCTGAGAAGTTAAAATTTGTAAAAACAGCTTTAAATTAAATAAGCACGTCCCTTAGTTCTCACCTGTCCTAACCGCGTAGTAAGTTCCAACTCCTAACGTTGTTCCTAATGGCAAGCACCTGAAGTAGAAGCTTTCACGATTGCATTCCTTTAGTGCACGAATTTCTTCCGGTGTAAATTTATATTTCTAAATAATGTTGTATAATAAATACAAATTAATTAGCAAATGTCGCAAAAAGCTTTCATCATCTTAATTTGAACGCAGAATGTTCTGATTTATTACCTGCTGATATATCTGCTGCTGTTCTGAAGGGTGGATATGTTGCTGGGGTCTATCCTGTCCTTCGCTTCCTCCTCCGTACATTATTTCGAAATATTTTAAATATTTCCAAAACTGTATTCAAAATTTTTAGGAAAGAAACTGAGAAACTGAAACTGAAACTGAGACTTCCCCCTTGTAAACTCTATGCGGATTTCAGTTTGACGGGGCGGGAGAGACTGGCACATGTGTTTGTTTACATTTTTTTACCCACGCAAGTTCCCTCGTTCCAGGAAAAAATTTATTTAAAAAATTCAAGAAACTTTTAAACATCAAAATTTTTGTGTTTATATACTCCTCACCAATTCATTTATACGTAGTTAAAGCTGAAATAGTGAAAAATAGTGAAATTTTAACAATTTATCATCTTTGCAATGAGAGCAAAAAACCGCCCTCAAAATTCGGAAATGAAAAAACTCTGTAGGTGGTGGAAAGTTATGGGAGAAAGTGGGGATCATCTACGACGGCCTATTTTTGACCCGGGATGAAGGGGTGAGTGTGGGCCTGGTTTTTGACAAAGTTATATTAATTTATATTATAATTTAATCATGGTGAACTGGGGTAGGCAGAGAGTAGGCGCTTTGTGAATTTTTCTTACTTCTTTGTATATCTAAATGAGAGTTAAATAAAACGTAGGGAGAAAGAGAGAGAGAGATTGAGACCAAGTTTAAACAGTCCATGTCGTGCAGTAGTTGGGTGACGTGAACTAGAAGATAGGAACCAGATAACACATCTACATCCCCACCCACATTTCACATTAGAGCATCGGAACGGGAAGGAAGGCTGCTTTCACCACCAACTGATTTTACCAACTGGGACAAATTTCTTTTACTTTCTTGACTTGATTTGAAGAAAACTCCATACGGCGAGGTGAGTGGTTATTCGTAGTCATCGTGGCCCATGGTGTACTATTCTATTATACATGAAATGTGGGTAATAATCATGAGGTATCAGAGCACAGGGTCGATAAATTGCTGTAGAACTGAGGACCCAGTTTTATCCTAAATTTTTTCACCTTCTTTCTTCGGCTAGGCAAAGCTAACAAAGGGAATCTTGTCAGTGGGTGTGGTGCAGGCCTTGAGATATTCAAGGGTTCAGTGATGCATTGTTGTGCGAGCAGGCAGGGCGTAAGATTATGTATCGAGTAATTTGAGTATCGGTCCCTTAAATTTTCTTACTGATATATGCAGAGAATCGATAAGTAATTTCATAAGGTCAACGATTCTGCTTGGCGAAAGAAAGGTGTAGAAGGGCTATAATTTATAAATAAACATGTGTAGTCTACAGGTAGAACAATTATCGATGTTTTGGTCCTTTTAGATAAAAATTATTAAGAACTGAAAGTTATTGGTTAATTGTTCTGAAATTAGAGACATTTAATTTAACCAGACTGCATAACTTTTTACGACTTCACTCTTATCGTTCAAGTAATTCAAATTATTTAAAAGCAATAATCCTTGCTTCATTTCAAGCAATTAAATTCAGTCAGACAGTATATTCCATCGCATATTGAATAACGAATTTCCATTTTATTTTATACCAAGCTTTGTAGTTTCATATCAATAGGTTCTCTTTGCTCAAAGAATTCGGTTTTGTTTTTATTGCTTGTTTACTGTAATAAGTTCTTGTAAATTGCTACATTATTATTATTCTAATAACATTTAAATATTTAACCATTGTCGCCATCATTCCTACACTTAGATTCGATTCATCACCTGCCCTAGATCTAGCTGTGATTTGATGGCGTCATTATCATAAATAACTTCCGGTTCATTACATTCTTCTTCTGATACTCGTTCGATGATAATAATTTTTGCAGGATAAAAACCCTGATCAAATTTCCAATTGCATTTGTCGATTACAAAGATGACTGAACTATGAGGGTCAATACGTAATAATAATTGCGAGTTTATGAGCCGAGCTGGTGTCAAAATTCGTTAAGTACGTGGTGATTATAAGTGTTGTGAATGAAAATGAGAGATATGATACTTTAGGAGGTCGGTTCGGACACCTCTCATCAAACTGTAAAGTAAATCTCTCAGCATAATGCAGGCGCCAGTGTGGTTGTTTATATCCTGATTAGATTGCAATTGCAAATTAATTTTCATGAGAGCTGGATCGTTGAAAAAGTTGAGCCTTTGTTTGGAATTCTGGAATTCCTTCGCTTTCTGTACAAGGATGATAATAAATATGTATCATTTTACTTGTGGGTAGATTAGTAGCATAAATATAAATGAAATTCAGGTCAGGTCAGTGACCAGAGCGAGGATTACTGATTAATCACTGCTCATTGTTCATATTTTACGACATGTGCAAGTCAAAACTCATTTGCAAGTTTTCTGAAATTGTAAGAGTTAAGAATCCTTTAACCAACTCTAGCAACGATTAGGTGACCTTCATTATGCCCAAGATTTAAGGGTCGTTGCTATTTCCTCCATTAATAATAAGCTGAGCAAAATTTCGCGAATTTTTTTACTCCATAATTTGCCGTGCATATAATCAGGTGTGGTGTGCATATTTAAGCATGCCTCCTCTCCTCATAAAGTTATGTCTCGCCATTCATTCTTTCCGACAGTGGTATGTCTGGTTAATTGGTCTAACGCAATTCTTTATTGTAGCCGTCCATGGGTTTGCTTACCTGGCTTACCTTAACTTTGCAATATTTGTAAAGTTGAGGTGTCCAAGTTAAAAATCGAGTTTCTACATGGTACACACACGTACCATCTCATCACCACTTGTTGAAATCTTTATTCCCTTCTTTCTGTAGAAAGCGCCACATCCTTTTCCCAACTCTTTGTTATTTTATAGCATGGTTGGCAGATATCTAATGCATAAATGTAGTAAAGTCCGTGTTCATCCATTTTTGCCTGGTGGTAAATCCAGGCTTTGTAGCTTGGTGAAGAAATGTCTTGCCAATTTCTTTTATTGTACGTCCATCCAGCTTAACTTACCTTAACCACCTCTCATCTACTGCTCCTCTGTCTAGCCTGAAACTCATTCTTTATGGCATTCGTTAGAGTTACGAAGGCTAGATTGCAATAATATTAAGTGAGATGGCATAACTATTACGTGAAAATCATAGAGAGCATGGTTGGTTTGGTTGCAATTGCAATTTTTTCCGCTGCTGTGTTACAGACAGGTTTAAAGTTTCTGTAAAACGAGGAAGGTGCATGTACGAGTTAATAATTTAGTTATTTTGGCTATTTTGGTTAACGAAAATTCTCAAAAAATTTGGCATGTTTTGACTCTTGGTTTCGTTTTGGTTGCAAAGTTTTAATGTCGTGCGTTGCGCAAAATGTTCCAGGAGAAGGGGTTTATGACCAGGTTTTATGTTTAAAATTTCCCTAGACAATTTATTATACATGTGTACAATTAAGAGGCGACGTGCATCTTGATGAAATGAATATCCCTCGTTCGTTCTACTTAATATCTTATTAGCCGATGATCTTGAATGGTTTCTTTGCACTGATGAAGATGACAATGACTTGGCTACTACTTCGACATGTACAACTGGATGGATGGATGGATAAAGTACTGGATCTATCAGTTTAAATTTTTTTGTGCAGATCGAGCAGGCTTTTAAATTATCCAGGTAGAAAGGAATGCAAAGTCGACCATTTTTTATCCTTATTTTTCCGTGGGAAGCACACATTTACTTATTCTATACATCATCTCGCTTGCTTAATGTTGCTTTGGTTCGGTTGCTGTTGTGTAGCCAGTTAATACAGCTCGGTTAGCATAGAAGCTATTAGTGCATTGTTGAGATCCAGAATGATCATTTTGCATAGTTTATGTAGTAGTAGGGCTCTTGTGCAATGCAATTGTCCCCATCCCGGCTTTTCTGACTGTGGTTGGAAACTAGGAACTCAAGACATAATTCTCGAGCATTTATATCATTGTGAAGTCGTCGTCGTCGTCATATTAAAAAGAAGTGAAGTGAACAGACAGGAGATTTTTTAGTATACGTTTGAGCGTCGTTCGTCCGTTCTTGGTTATGTTACCTAACCCAGTAACTACGACGAGGTTTTTTAAGTTGGATGAGGTATGTACGTATGTATGTCTTTGGTCGTAGACGTGCATGTATGTATAGTATATCACGGTAATGCATTCTATTATGCGGCTTGCTATTGCTATTCTGATGCATGTCTGCAGTGCAGAAAGTGCGAAATTCATTCACCACGAACGAACCAGCTAAACCATTGAGAGAGATTGGCCCCATGTGCATTTGCAATATTCCCTGTCCATTTACAGACTTTGAGTTTGTAGCACCAAGGAAAATCGCAGACTTTGGTTGGTGTCACTACTACCTAAGCGATATCCCCCATACATTGGAACCCACCAGCATTTAGATTTAACCAACTCATTGCTTTTATCCCATCTCCAACATTAAGTAAATGTGGGCAAAATGTACATTACAAGCAGTCACGCCGTCCCAGCATATTGCAAAAGTTGACTGAAGGAGAGAGGAGAGAATCCATGCAAATCACCATCAAACGTAGTCGTAGTTCTCTCTAGTCGTAGTTCTTATGTGATACTCGTTGTGCTTTTATGTTGAACTACAACACAAGACACCGCAATACCATTTTGCAAGGCTACGGAATGCTAGGTATGGTATTTTATAATTTTTCTCCAATACTCCACTCCTCCATTTATAGGAAACCATATTGAAATTAGGAGTGAAGTAAACGATTACTTTTCAGCTAACGTAATTAACTGACCCATTTTTGTATGAGTGAGCCGAATTCCGAACCATCTACTCGCCTGACTTGCATAATAGCCCACTTTCTCCATCAATGAAAAGTAATTCCCCCTTAAGAATTTGTCCAAATGACCTGTTTGTGTCTGGTGAATGAATGAAAATTGGAATAAAAATGTACCCCAAATTTGCGTGACTACTAGCTTAAAATTAAAATCTCGTTACAATTTGTTTCCACAGGCAGTCGATAATGGATCGAGCATTCGCCTACCAGCAGCAGCAGTAGCTCTTCTAATAACAGCCTGTTTGAACTCGACTCGCTGGCCTATGTTACGGGGATCATTTTTGCAGTACTTTCGCGAAAACTGCAATCTGTCTGAGAAAACTGACTGAAAAGTAACTCTAGAAGACTGGGTCGTTACATCGTTGTCGTCGGATGATGATGATGTCACCTACCTCGGATTGCCTGTCACGGACTGATTAATTTAAATTTTAAGTTTGGCTAGTAGGGCTGCCTTTTTACCACACAGTACTTATTTTAGTAATTATATCGAAAATCATTATTGTCCTTCCTATACGACAAGTAAGGGTCTCCCCGTTCATTCATTATTAACGATCAGTTGCCTATACAGTCAAAGTCTGAATGAAAGTCACTGCTTATTGTCCTACATACTACTAAAATCGAATTCAAGAACTGCTGAGAAAGCCAAGCAAGACTGATATTTTGAGTAATAATTTTTGAGGATATAATTACTATCCAGCACGACGGAATCCCCTGACCCTATAAAATAGATAGACAAAGGTCAAAGTAGGAATGCATTTCGTCAAGTCATAAATGACCAAACTCTAACGAAGAGCAAAGATCAATCAAGTTTCTCTGCAAATTGTCACAGCATTGCAGATTTTTCATTAAAACCAACCTTCCATCACACATACTCATTACCTGGATCTGGACGATTGAAACGCCCACCTGGACAGGAAATTACTCTCTGGAGAAAGATTTCATCCTTCAACACCACGTCGCTTCACCTGCATTGTAAGTGCGACATGTGACTATTTAACGCATATTTTTTGTTTTATGCTATTTTTTATGAAAAGTATGTAGGTTACTGCTTGAATGCTTATTTACTGGGTCAGGTAACACCACCAACTCCGTTAACAGCCAATTTTGATGAAAGGAAGTGGTCACTTACGTACATAAGTTTGCAATATAGTTCAGCCGGGGAGGGAAAATGTTGTGTGTTGAGGTTGCTACATTTATCAAAATTTGGTTATGGTCTGATGTTGGTAAAGTCAATGCGTTATTTGTTAAGCGGTCTTATTAGGTTAGGACTAATAGCTTTCGCTCATTTGCGGTTTAAAATCTACAATCAATTAAACTCTTTATTATTCCTTCGGGATTACATGCGTTACAAGATGTACTCTTATCCACCACCCACATAAACAATTCTGGGGAATAAAGGAAATATCCATCCGGTGATCCACACATGCTGGTTGATGATGAATATTTTCTACTAACACTGTCCTTATATATACACATATATCGTGTTACATGACTGTCAAGTACCAGGGCGCATAAACTTTTTGTTGTCCGTGGTTTCTCTTAAGGGAAACCACGGACAACAAAAAGTTTATGCGCCCTGGTCAAGTACCTACATTCGTACCTACCACATTTGTTTTCATATTTTTCTTTGAATTGAATTCCTCCTTGAGGATATTGAAGTACACACAATTACAAAACACAAAAAGTGACTCCTGCAGCAGCACCACCACCATTTTTGTGAACATTTGTTGTGGAATCGACACATTATTGAATCCCTTTTCCCATCCCATTGAATAGTGGCTGAGATCAGTTTTTTCTCAGAAGAAGACAAAATATGAGGAGAGATAGATGAGAAGGTTTTCTCAAATTCATGGGATGGATGGATTGAAATTCTTTCCGTTTTTTGTCCCCGAACCACCATCATCATCATTGAAATTCCTTCTAGCAAGTTAACTGTTCTACCCTTAAGGCAAATACCGAAGGGCTAGTTCTTGAAGGTATGAAGGTTTCATAGAATAAGAAAATGTTAGCATGCATAGTTCGTACTTACACAAACACAACTCTGACCGAACTTGTTTGACTCTGACCAACTTTTATATGCACGGATGGATGGATTAAAGTGCCCTTAAGATACGTACTTGAGCTCGAGGTAAATTTTTGTTAAGGTATCCTCTGACCTACCTTTCTTTCATTCTTTCGAACTAGGAATAAATAATACATAGTGTTTGTTACTGCCAGCAGGAGGATTTGTGCCTGGAGATGATTGCAAAAGTTCTAAATAAACGTGACTCTTGTAATAATTCTTGTAAGTAATGGAATTGGAATGTGAACACGATGCTCTCGTGGTGACAATGAAACCAACAATGATTTGCAATGGGACGAAACTAAATTGTGACGAAAGATGATGAACTTAATATGAAAGAAATTGTAGGATTCGCACTCGTGAAGTTGATGTATATTTACAGATATCGTCGTTAATTGTAGATTAATACTTTCAAAATACTTTTCGTAATGTTTAGGTCTGTTCTATCAAGCATGCTCAATGGTTTAGATGCTCAAGATCAATAATTTTTCAAATAATTTTTCGTTTTTCGATGCTACAACCAATTGGCAAGAAATTGCAGAATTTTTGCACATGTATTCGCTTACGGTTATTAAAAAACAAACATGGCCGCGGATTACGCTTGTTTAGTTTATGATCTTGGGTTTTGACGCCTGGTGGCGACGCCGGTCATCCCTCAGGTCACAAATGGACAAGTATACGCATAATTATTAATACAATTTATGCGACCGAGACTTTTTAGTCTTAAGGGCCCAGTTTTATAATAGGCATAGAAATTAGGTAGATTCATTCATGACCTTAACCCCTGCTTTCACTTTACTTTCACCTGAAATTTGAAGTTTTAATATGACGTACCGGATCATCTAGTACTTAAAATTATACAAAGTTAACAAGCTAACATTGTGAGAAAGTCTTTTAAACGCAGAATTTGCACATTTTAACATGGCGACGGCGATTACGTCATACAAATGCATCGCTCGCGTTGCATCTGTCAAGTTCATTGCCGGTTGCATAATTTCGTTCAAAATAGCATAGGTCATGGTTAATTTGTAAACATGCATTGCATAAAAGCTCTTTGGTATTTGCAATTTCATAATTTTTCAAGAATTATTTAAATTCCTGATTTTCGGGACTTTTTTTTGAGATATTTGATTATTAACAACATAGTCGTGCTTATTCTATTAATGTAGCCAATTAACAAATTGGTTTATTAAGGGTTGCGTGCATTGACAGGTTATAATTAAGAATTTGGTTTGATATAAAAGTAAACGTTGTTGTATATTAGCATCTGACAGAAAGGTTGTTTGAAGGATATGAGTTGCATGCATGCATAAGGTTGGTGGGTTGCAAAATTTTTGCAGATCCCTGGCACTTAGCCGAGGTTGTAGCTTGTATTGTATGGCAGCGGTCGGTGGTGGTGCAATGCAGTTCTCATTCCCACTCTCGCCCATCCATTCTGGTTTTTGCACACACTGTCAAACAAGGCGAAGGACTTGTGTTGAACAAGACAGTTAATATGGCGCATCGCTGCTTATGCCATGTTGATATTGCAGATTATATTCCCGTAGTGCTGTGCATTTTTCATCCTCCACGTATTTAGTAAGTAGTTCCAGTAGAAAACGTGAACGAAATTCAACTTAAAACGGAAAAAAAATGATAATGTCGTCCACATTCATTATTCCAATTTTACAGTGAAATGGACAGGTTTATTAAGTAGAAAAGTTACTGGATTTTATATTCATGTACTATGAAATGTAATGGTTACATATAACGAATACCTGTAACTCTACAGGTACTAAAGTGTAGATAATTTTCTTTACTGCCAATGCTAAATTCTTACGATTGACTATAAAAGGATGTACAACTAGAAATTTAAACGTTCCAGTGACTACTTTCAATACTAGTTAATTTGGGTAATGTGTTATTCATGGAAGTTTTAGAATGTAGAGCCTTGGCAAAAACTTAATTAGCCGTGGTTATTGACCACTCTACATGGCTGACAGATGTTATCAAAATGTACAGCACGAAGCTTATATAACAAAACGGCACAACGCAATTTGATCCTTCTTGGTAGGTAGCTGAGAGTAGTAGAGGATTAATTATCATTTCTTGCAGTTTGAATTTCAAACTTTGAAATATATGCATGCATAAGGAAAATATTTCTACAGTTCAATGTAGACTCTGCTTTCGATTGATTAAAACTTACAAGTGCAGACATTTGTGTAGCCCGAGTCAGAGACAGTTCGCTTCTAAATTTTTATCCGAATTGATTAAACTACGACCAGGGGTGGCCCTAGGGTCGCACTGGTTGAAAATTTCCAATTTTACCTCAGAAACTTTCACTTCAAGCCATTAAAAATCTGGGGATGTCAAATTTCGACTTTCTAACACTAGTTTGAACTTGATGCATAGTACTCACACCCACCGGTCAATCTTTGACCAATCTTGTCCATCTTCGAACGTACACAAACATACAGGTTCCATAAGCCCTGACTCAGGTTAAAAAAACATTACAACTAAATTGCAAACACTTATATATGCAAATTGAATTTCCAATCAGACTGGAGTGGACAGTTATTATAATTTGTTGTTTTTTCCGCAATTACCATGATGAGAATGTTATACATATGTGGTGTCGGCGAAAACCACCAAAGGTCCACTCGATCGAATAATTAGGAAGATGCACAACAAACTGTTTTTCTGTTTGCTAATTTATTTCGTCGTAATGAAGTCTTTCTTGTGTTTGAAAACATGCTGGATAAGCTCAACATGCTTCTACACCTTTGTCTCATCTTTATTTCGTAGTTTCATTTTGTGGTTTGCTTAATACACGTATTAATGAAGCAAGATGAGGCGGAGTAATAAGGCTTCAAATTATGGCATGCGGATTTAATGGAATGGATGCAAAGCAATTTTTCTTAATAGGAACCACATTCAAATTGATTGAGTTTTAACTAAAGAGTAACGTTTGAGCTGTCATGTTTCGTTGGGTTCAGACAATAACTGTTCATCAACGTTTTCTATAAGAATCTGTTGATTTCATTCAATGAACCCTTCAAATTCTTGAACTTGAATCCCATTATCGGATTGCCTTGCTTGTTAGAATTTTCATTTGTATCCCTCGCAAAACGTATACGCATCACAAAATGGTTAGTTTTCGTCAAGTGAAAAAATCGGGCTCAGCATTCAGAGCCGGAAATCAGTCCGGTTTACGTAGTAAAACGTAGTTGCAGGGTTATATACGTAGTTGGAAAAATAATTTACAATGGACAATGAGCAAGGACTCGTTTTTCCCACACATCCAGTAATATGTAGGAAGGAACACTTCTTCTCATCAATGAAATACATAAAGTCCACCATCACCCACCCAACAACGTTTGTCTTGAACTATGTGACGACTTGTTTATACGGACGATTTTACTATATGTGTAGTAGTATACAGGACTTTTATGTTATGCTACATCCGCTTGGAAGGGATGGGATGATCATTCATGTTTTTTTTCACTTTCCGATATAGGGCACCATTTGGAAGGAACTGTAAAAGTGAGACTTTTGTAACTTTATGGTGATGTCATTTTAGTAAGTTGGATAACTGAGGTGGCATACTATATCAAGATAATTATTGGTCTAATTATTGTCTTAATATGTAAGAGGCCATTGACATGAGATTAAGAAAGAGATTGGTTGAAATTGCACTTCAAGGGCGCACCTGCAATTTTTAATTCTGTATTTATTTGTCGTCGTTCTGCTTCATTGTTACTTTATATTATTAATTTGGTAGAGGATACCATATTACATGTCTGGGTAGGTGATACATATATGTAGTAACTAATGGAGGATGGGAAAGGGAAAGGACTTAAGGTCATCTATAATCGGCTGCAGGGCAGGGTAACATCCGGTCTCATGGAAGAAGATCCCACTACCCAAATAC